ACTCACCTCAGGCCACCATGCAAAGAATTGACTCAAGTCAGGAAAACTTCAGTTCTAGTGGTTTTTTTTCTTGGTGCATTAGAAACTTGTTGGATCATGAACTCTCAGTAACATTATGACTCTTTCATGTGATGTGAATAATATCTATTTTCTGAGTTTGTAATTTGGAATGTCTGATTTTTGTAATTAGATGTATTAGTTAACGATGGGCGGGGGAACAAACAACTTCTAAATCCCAGTGGTTTCACACAATGAAACTGTACTTTTTACCTTGGCTCAACAGTAACTCAGACCACACCCGCTGCATTTCCCTGGGCTGGCTGCAGAGGAATGGAAAACGAAGGAGAGCAAGTTAAAGGTTTCTGGAGGACTGCTCCCCACCACAGAAGAATTAGTTAGGCTGCATTTTGTTTTATTAATGAGTATACAAAATAAGGCTTTTCAGTCACATGGGTATGCAAAATATTTCTGAGCCTTTGCTTTTATGTGTGTGCCTCTGCAAAGGACCTCAAGGTCACAGAAGTGGATTAATAGTAACCCTTGGCTCACGGAACCCTTACAGACGGTCCATGAGTGGCTCTCTGCTATGCCTGCATATGCGTATGCTTGATAACGTAAATGCACCTGGGGTGGACCGAACAGCTGATGCTGTTCAGACTCTGGCAATGTTACATCTAGCCGTGTGGTCCCCACTCCATCCATCTGCTGCTGCCTTCCCAAGGTAACCGTCTTCCTAAACACTGTGTGCTTTTTCTCACACTCTCCTTTTACTATAGTTTTATCTGATATATATACACATAGAGGTTATATTGGTATATGTATTGCACACGTATGTGTATGTATTGTATACAATACAATATACACACTTTATATATTGCTTAAAGGCATACATTTTTATTTTAGTTTTCTTATCTTGGTATATTATGTTAAGATTCATCCATTATGCTACAGTCATCGTAGTTCATTTGCTGAATGTTGCATAATAGTCTTGTTTGACCATTTACCAGTTTATTCATCCACTCTCCTTGGGGATGTGCATTTGGTATTTTCCCCAATTTTTGCAATTGTAAACAACTTCCCAGGTATCTATGGGGCTTCATCTCTCAATAATTCTTCCTTTCTGGTCAAGCTTCCATCTTCACTGGCTCTTAAAAAATCCCATTCGATTTCCTGACCCTCATCCTACTATCTCTGGCAGTATGCCTCTATACTTTTTTCTGCATTCTTAATTCTATACATGGTCCAAGAGCAAAGTGAAGTCTCACCTCTTCTGTAAAATTTCCCATTACCATTTTAATTCTTTCTTGCTATGAACATCTAAAATGAACTCTGCACTCAGTGGGAATGTTGCCATTTGGTTATTTTTGGGCTCGGAAGTTGGACTACATTTTGTCCCTCAGAAGTCCATCCCGTGCCGGGACCACTCCGGGCCTGCCTAGCGCCAGGTCCCATGCCCTCTTTGCTGTTCCCTGGCTACCTCTCACGGCCCAGGACCTGAATATATCAGTTCTCCCTTCCTCCGCCTCTGGTAAGGAAGGATCCCATTCCCGAAAATCACCTGAGACGTAGCTACAAAATGTGATCATCGGTCCCCGTGAGGACTTGCAGCCTAGGTAGTCCGCAGGTTTCCAGGAACCTGGGTTCCCAGGTGTTTACTGTTAGCGGTTACCCGCCCACCACCGCTTCCCCACACTGGAAAGGCAGATCAGCACCCTCCACCTCTGCCTTCTAGGCAAACACGCGCGTTTGCGCTGTTTAGAGCTTAGAGGCAGGCGGATGCCTCGTGTCCCCAGATCCTGTACCACTGACCTTAACTCTTCCATCCAGGGGCCTGTCTAGCCCGAACGTCGCTGCCCGCGCATGTGCAGTCTGCTCTTCTTCAGCGGCCTTTGGGCAGCCTGGGCCTTCCCAGTCGGTGGAGCCGGAGACCTACCCAACCACCTGCACGGTCTCCAGTGTTGGGAGATCTCCGCTCCCCCGTCCCCCACCCCTGAAGTCACTCTCAGGCGTACCTGTAAGTTGGCGACAGTCACACTGTCTGAAGGGACTGACCGGGCTTCTCTAGCTACCCAATTTCTCACGGGTGACACAGCAAGACACCACTGCCACCCTTCAGACCCCTCCCCAGCTCGTGACCTCCAAGAGCTCTCCGGTGCCCCACTATGCCCGGGTTCCAGATCTCTGGCCACCCCGAGTTGTTCGGCACTCGCAGGCCTCACCCCTGAGCCTTCAGGCCTGTGCAGCTGGAGCCCGGCCTCGGTGACCTGCAGTCTCCAGTCAAAAGGGGGCCCAGCGGAAAATCATCCTGCGGTGGCCGCTACAAGTTGGTGACCGTCAGCTCCTGTGCAGACTCCAGCGATCGAGGCTCCTAGGCGTCTTTTATTAGATGGTTCCAGTCGGCCCTCCCAGCGTTGCTTTGGCAAGACTGACCAGGGTCCTCTGGACGCGTTCAGAAGGCATTGGCGCCTGTGCGTAGTTTAGGGCTTGGCAGCCGGCTGGCCTGTGTCCCCACCCAGTTCCTGTTCCTGCGTCCCGCCTGTCTCGGCCTCGGCCCGCTTCCAGTTTTGCTGCCTTAACGGGCACTGCTTGTGAATGAAAGTGACCGGAGGGGATGGGGAAGGAGGACAATGGTGGCAAGAAGGAGAAGGAACTAAACAAAGAACATGTATGAACGACCCATGGACATGGACAACAGAGTGGGAATTGACTGTGGGAGCGGGGCGGGGGGGAGGGGAGGAGGGTGGGATGGGCGGAGGAGGGAAAGGGGGAAAAATTGAGACAACTGTAATAGAATAAACATGATTTTAAAATAAAATTAATTTCTAAAAAAAGTGAACTGCTCGTGCATGCGCAGCTCGCACGGGCCCCAGCGCTGTACCCCGGGCTTTGGAGAGGCCTGTGGAGCTGGGGCTTGTGCCCAACCTCCTGCATAGTCTGCACTGAGGGGGTTCATCCCCGGACGACACTCAGAGGCAGAAGGTGCAAATTAAGGACGGTCAGAACCATTTGGATTCGCTGCCCGCGGGCCTCAAGGGTCTCTTCCTAGACTTCCGCTCCAGCCCGCCTGCTGCTGCCCTGGCAGGGCCGGCCAGTATCCTTCAATAGCTCTGCCTTCAGGGCAACCTGCGCGTTTGTGTAGGTCGCCGTTTGGGATGAACGCAATTGAGTTCCCAAGGTCCTGCTTCTGAGACCTGGTCTGTCGGGACTAGTGTCCTGTTCCACGTTCCCAGTCACCCGGTCCTGGCTTTCATGGGCTTGTGTGGTTCCCATTTCTTCAGCCGGCCTGGAGTAGCCAGGACCCTCTAGCTTAGAGTCCAGCGAGGAGGGGACCGCCCTGAAAGTCACCTTGAGGCAGCAGCTGCGAATTGCCGCAGTAGGCCCTGTTTGAACTGCCCGTCTGATGGGTACCCGAACTCTGCTGTGACCCAGAGCTCCAAACTGTCTCTTGCTGCATTCACAGCGGCCCCACCAAGCTAGGCTTTTGCATCCTGATACATCTGCTTCAGGGTGATAAGGCCCTTTGGGTGGGGGCAGCCTTGGGCATTGGCAGATGCCTGCTTTCCCCCAAAAGCCCAGGATCGTGACAAAAAAAGAAAGCTACTAGGTTTATCCATGTGCTCTCTCCTCATAGTTAAGATTATACGATGGTAGCAGATGGAGGCTAGAATCTTTTTTTTTTCCTCCTGCCCAAAGCGTGTCACTAATTTAGTATGTTCTTTCAAACTCTTCCCTCACATAATTAAAAAGAATTCTCACCCACTCTGCTCAGGGCACATTGTCTCTTCTCTGTCCCTGGAACATGCGTGATGCTCCACCTCAGAGCACTGGCGTTTGCTCTTCCTGCTGCCAGGAATGCTCGTCCCTCACGTGTCCAGAGGTCCTTTCCCTTCAGTCCCTTCACGGCTTTACTCTGATGCCACCCTCCCATTATGCTCTTCCCCAGGAACCTGTTTAAAATTACACCCCCCCCCCAACACTTCTCATATCCTCCCTTCCCGTCTCTAATTTTCTCCTTAGCCCGTATGACTAACATTCTAGAAATGTATTTGTCTGGTTTATCATCGGTCATCTCCACCAGAATGTAAAGTCCTTGAGGACAAGCACGTGGGGCAGTTTTGTCCACTGCTGTACCCTGAGATCCTGCAACGTGCCTGGTGACCTGCTGGGGGCACTCATTTGTCATACGCATAAATCCACCACTGAAGAATTGAACTTTCAAGGGCTCCCTCCTGTTTGATTTTGTTTTATACTCTCCTCACGGGTGGAAATGTGAACGAAAGGTGGAAGAGAAAAAGACAAATGAATAGAGAGCTTAAAGAAAGAACAAGGAAGCCCTTATTCTTGTAACACAGACTTGTCCCTACAACAAGGCTTCCATATTCAGCCCTTGCCACTCTTCTGGATTTTTCTCGGGTGCTTTCTGTAGGCTATTCAGTCCAGGATAATATTAGCAAAGTAAAAAGTTAAACTAGAAGTGGTTCTAGTTTCTTCTACTTGCTGATAAATATATACCACTTGTTCAACAATTTCTACCCACCTCTTTTAAGAAAAATAACAATGATTTACAATGATAATTTTCACATCTGAGTTTAGGTTTAACAACTTTTATGTTTAAAAGCCATGAATCTGAGAATCTTTCATAGCAACAGTGCAATATCTCATTAAGAATAATGACACTCAGTTATCTCATGATAATTTGCAAAACATGTCTTTATTTCGTATACATATAAATGCACATATAAATTAAAAATAGTGTTGTCTCATGGCATGAAAAAATCCAGTCAGTGAATAACATTCACACACAATGTAAAGTCTTACTTATTGCAACTGAAATGTTAAATATTCTAAGAAGAAACTACATTTTAAAAAAGTGGACACATAACATAGTTAGTGAAGAATGTCTAAATATACAGTCTATGTCCGTATATTTGCATCAGGAAATTCATACAGATAGAAAGTGTAGCTTAGTATATTTTTACATAATCACTATCATCTGTTAACCTAACAACAAATTTATAGGGGTATTATTCTCATGCAGCTTTACGTAAATAACTGCAAATCTGAGTATCAATTAGCCTCTAATGAAAAGTACTAATGTCTGTACTGTGCTTTTCATCTGGGTGTTGTGGAGTTTCAGGCGGCCGCAGCATCAGAAATTGCTGCCCCTTCCAGCACACACACTACGGTGTGGGTTTGCTTAGAAACTCTTTGTTGAAGAATTTTCTTGCCTCGATGTTACTGAGGGAAACAGAGCAACGAGATGGATTCTGTTTTCTATATTCAATGCTTTCCACAATGGCGTTCTTTATCACCTGCAAAGAGAAGCAAAAGAGGCATCGTTAGTGCTGCTCTGAACTCATTTAAACATTTGTTGGATCAGAACAAAAAAATCTAATTAATCTTTTTATTATAGAGTGCTTTTCAAAATAGAGACAGAAATTTCTGAGTCATGCGTGTGTGTATTTACATTAAACATCTCGCCATTACACTCCTGTTAAGCTCATATTCAAATACTCTTCCCTCCCCTATGAAAGGGAAAAAAACAATTCCTGAAGTTCCAAATTTTGTGTTGAAAAAATTGGGAATAAAATATTTGTACAATGGTAAGCCTATCTTCCTTTTGTCTGTCACTGGGAAGGTGATCAGAGGGAAGAAACAGTAATGATTAAACCTAGAATTTATGTTCTTTACAGTTAGCAGACAAACAGCAATGAAGAACCACAAGGCAGTGAAACCCTTTCCAGAACCTAAGGAGAGAAGGCGGTGCCAACAAACAGTCCTGTTGCCTCAGCTAAACAAACACGGTCATAACACATGGGCACCCTCTATCTAGAAAACACCACCCTTCATGATTTTGTGGACAATGGCTATTTTTTATTCAGAACAATCCTTATATATATACTCAAGTGAATGGTGACTACCGCCTCTAAGGATTTCTAGTGCGATTATCATACACTTCTCTGGTATGAAGTGAACCTAGTTAGGAACTTTTGGGAAAGAGAGAAAATTTGGGATTTGGCTGAAGAAGTTATTGCAGAGCAATGGGAATGGGCTTCAGAGAAGAGGCCTGAATAGCAATCTTGGTTCTCAGTTCTCGGTTCTGCTGCTGTTTTATAAACTTGGCACCATTAGGAAGACTCCATTCCTTAGAGTGAGACTACAGGATTTCTTTCTTTCTTTCTTTCTTTTTTTTTTTTAAGATTTATTTATTTTTGGAGAGAGGGGAAGGGAGGGAGAGAGAGGGGGAGAGAAACATCACTGTGTCGTTGTCTCTCATGCACCCTATTCTGGTAACCTAGCCCGCAACCCAGGCATGTGCCCTGACAGGGAAGCAAACCGGTGACCCTTTTGTTCCTAGACCAGCGCTCAATCCACTGAACCACACCAGTGAGGGCGAGACTACAGGATTTCATCTTAATACCCCTATGATAGAAGTTTCAGGACACGGGCAAGTCACAGAGATAGCCTACGATCCCCCTTCAATCTCTGTCCTAGGGATCTTCGAGCAACATTAAGGTATTATCTGCATGCTGCCATGGGGAGAATCCTTCACAAGTCTGGGCAGTTTAGGATCCTATGGCTCCCTCCTACCCAGAGCCGGTGTGGTGCTCTTAGCCTTGGAGATGTGTACATAGAGGGGTTTGCCCATTCCACACCTGACCCCACTGGGCAAGCCAGGATTCAAGGCCAGGAGACGAGGGACGTGTGACCTGGGTGGTGTTAACATGCAAGTAAAATTCTGCGAGTTCATGTTAGGTCCAAACGGCAGGTCCCTCTATTCTCTGATGGTAACTTTAAACAACAAACAGCTGCATTATAGAAAGAGGGGTTTATCAAGGCAATGTGACACATTTAGTTGCCTTCTGATTTTAAAATTTATATATACAGGGGAGGGCAAAAGTAGGCTTTTAGTTGTATGTGAAACAGAGTTGATTCTTGCATCACTAATATTAATTATTGTATTATTTTCTATACTAACAACTGTAAATCTCTTTTTGCCCACCCCAGTGTAAAGAATTATCTTCTGGGGAAAAATGGGCTCAAATAGTACTCTTTTATTAAAGCAGATATTTGCTGACCCCATTTTCTTCATGAGTAGGGGAAACATAATTAAATCTATTGCAGCTGAAGAGGCTTCAGGCCTATGAAAGAGACCTTGACCAAGGGCCTCCAGGCACGATACTTTTTGACTATGTGGGATCAAGGGACATTAGCTCAAATTCTTGAGTTTGTTCCCTCTTCTTTAAAGTGGGAATAATAGTACTAACCTCGGCTTTTGTAGGGATTGAGGATCATTTATAAAAAGTATTCTGCATGCCCTGGCTGGAGTGGCTCAGTGGATTGAGCGCTGGCCTAGGAACCAAAGGGTCACCAGTTTGATTCCCTGTCAGGGCACATGCCTGGGTTGCAGGCCAGGTCCCCAGTAGGGGGCGTGTGAGAAGCAACCACATACTGATGTTTCTCTTCTTTTTCTCCTCCTCTTCCCCTCTACCTAAAAATAAATAAAATCTTTAAGTGGGAATAATACTAACCTTGGCTTTTGTAGGGATTGAGGATCATTTATAAAAGGTATTTGGCATGCCCTGGTTGGTGTGGCTCAGTTAGTTGTAGCATCATCATGTAAATCAAAGGGTTGTGGGTTCGATTCCTGGTCAGGGCACATGCCTGGGTTGCAGGTTCGCTCCAACAGGGCTCATTGATATTTCTCCCTACTCTCTCTCTCTCCCTCCCTTCCCTTCTCTCTAAAAATCAGTGAGCATGTCCAAAGGTGAGAGTTAAAGAAAAAGTACTTTGCACCATGCCGGCACACAGGAAACATTTCCTGACAAGCATCTATTTGTTGTCGTTATTTTCAGAGTGACAATCTGTGAGAAAATTTAGGAGCTTTAAACTACGTGTGAGGGTATAAGGTTTACTAGAAATAAAAACACTATATATAGCCAATAGAGGGTTTATTATTTGGTAAAAGTCAGCAAATCAATTCTGCAATCAAACGTGTCCTACCACATCTTCTAATAATCTCCCTGCCTGCAGTTTCAGTAAAGATGGCAGAGTAGGTAAGATGCGCTTCCCTCCCATGACCGCATCAGAATTACAACTAAACTACAGAGCAATCAACCTGGAGAACCCTCTGAAGACTAACTGAGTGGAACTCCAAGAACTAAGGATATAAAGAAGAAGCCACGTAGAGACTGAATGTAATATTGAATGTCAACTGCAATTGAAAATTTTTTTTTTAAAGGAAAAAAAACACTTCTCTCCTTAGTGAAGGTCATATCGCCAAGTTTTCAGTTGTTTCTCCTTCATTATCGCAGCCCAGGATGCATCAAGTCACATGACAGAGAAATACCCAAGTAAAAAAAAATCAGCTATTTACTTTCCAAACACCAAAAAGCTTTAACATGTAGAAGACCACAGGGGAAATTATACTGATAATGACTGTTAATTCCTTTATAACAAACTCATGAGCAGAGTCAGCAATATCAATATCAATAATTAGTGTAATTACCATAAGCTTGGTAGGTGTTTCTAGTAATCAAGCCATTCTTCTAAAGCACAACGATATTTACACAACTCTGAAAAACCCAAATCATATGCCATGAGGATGTGGAAGCTGAACCACTAGGTGGCACGTTAACACCGTAAAACCATTAACCATATTTTTTCACGTTACTGAAAAAATACCAAAGTGCTGTAATTTATAATCCAGTGATATACACAGAAAAGGCTAAACTCAGTAGTACAGCAGCTGCTAAATTCAACCCTTCCAACATGATGCATGATACATCTTGATGTCTCCAGAGAAGGAATATGTCATATTTAAATCTTCCTCTTTTTTGAAATTAGAAGTACGCTTAAGTAGTGTTTATATCAAACTTCCTCTTTCATTCACCCCTGACATGCACTGATTCCAAATCCTTGTCAGTAACCCTGGCAATGACCCTCATTCCCCGCTCTCCATCCCTAAACAGGGCCCGTGCCATGTTTCACTTGTGCCATTCAGTCGCCTCCTAATTGTTGATCCGCAACATTTCAATCTTTGGCAATACGGGCAGAGAAATAAGGAGAGAAAACATTTAAAAGTTGATCTTCTCCCCAAAAGGAACAAACTTAGAAATGTGATTTTGGAAGTAATCCACAAGCAAATATTGAGTTCCCACAACAGAAAATTAGAAATGAGCCCAGAGAGGAAGTTATAGTATATATTTGGAAGGAAAAATAAGAATTACAAATGTGGAAAATGCAAGAAGGTATACCGGTCTAAATGACTGTGCATTTTTTGGTTAATGCCTGCTTTCCCGATAAATACTGAAGCGTCATGGAAGCAGGGACCCTTTAAGTCTCATCATTTTTCATCCCAGCTCTTAGCACCTGGAAGGGGGACAGTAAATATTTGTAAAATTAATGAATGCACAGAAGGTTATCATGGCAGATGGAATTAAACAGGATAAATTTCAACTCATGTGGATAAAGAGGCCTGGGCTGAGCGGAAAGACAAGCACGGTTTGTAAGTGGAGCAGCAAGACTGGGCATTCTCAGTAGAAAGATGATCTTATAAAAAGGCTAAAGATGGAAGGTTATGGCATATATAGGAAGCACCTGGAAACAGGCCTGGTTGGAAGCGAGGCTGTGTTTGGGGAACACTAGGAACTATGTTTGCTTGAGACACAGATGGTTTAAAAGTGAAGAAAGAGTGGAAGAAGAAACCTGTTGGTTCCATCTCAGCTCCTCACATAAGCTTGTGACTTCTAGCAATCTGCCTAAATAACCCATGACTCAATTTCCTCACGTGTAAATAAAAATACCTATCTCATAGGCCAGCTTTGAGTGTTCAGTATTTGAAGGGGAAATATTTAGTTTATATTAAACACTCAAAACTTTCTTGTGGTGGTGTTGTTTTGTTCATTATTGTATCTCTAGTTCCTAAAAACAGTGCCCAGCACAGTAGATACTCAATAAATGGGTTGAATTAAAGGAAGAAATAAGATGGAAAAAGATGACAGGAAGCACAAATGGTAGATGGATTTGGGCCTAATATATTGATTGGGCCATGATACTTCAAAAGATTCTAAATTATTTTTAAAAAGATAAAAACTTTAACTTGTACCTAGACACTCTTATTATGATGGTGGACCATCAATAAATTAAGAATTAAGTACCAGTACCTCTGGATATGTGCTTTTCCTCCTTTTAATTAGCATCTATTGTTTAACACTCTATAGAGTTGTTTGAGAACGAATTTTGAAAGTTCATTACTATGTACCATAGACATATATTGAATAAACTGACACACAACAGGTTCTTAGAATATGCCTACTGACTTAATAAATTGAATAAGTGAGACTGAGTAACAATACTTCTTTTGTGTGTGTGTGTGTGATAGCTCAGTCAACTAGGTCCTAGAAAAGAGACCTCAGAACGCATGTTCCCCTCCAGGTCCAAGCAGCGGTTTATGAGTACAGCATGCAGCCCCACTCCCGGGCAGGCAAACATTGTAGAGATTCTCCATGGTCAGGAACTCTGCCTCCAGGCCTGTATGGTAACCCTTGTTGTCCCCTCCTCCTATCACATTAAATTCTTTGACAACTCCAGCCAGTGAGTCAATGACACTTTAAAACTCACTCATAAACACTTTATTGCGCATTTATTTTAGGTGTCATTGTGATTAGTATCTCCAGACACACGGTAATACGGCAAGTCATTGTTTTTCATGGATTTAAATTTTTAATTAAAAGCAGATGACAATACGAGCACTGATAATGATTTTTATCATTATCACATTAGCTGCTTCAGTTTATCAAGTGTCTCTCCGATGCCAAGCCCGTAAATTATACTGTTTTACTTAATCTTCTCCCTGATCTACAAGACCTGTAGCACTGCTTCCCCGTACAAACGAGGAAGGTGATATTTGGGAAGGTTAACAAACATGCTCAAGATCACGCAGCCAAGAGGCAGCAAGCAAGGATTTGAACACCCAGTTTGGTCTGACTCCAGAGCCTCTGCATTCCCCACATACCACACGTCTACCAGTATAAGTCACTGTATATTAGGTTTCTGGAAAAAAGACAACCATGAAATAGTGCCAGAGTGAAAGAACGGAGGCACTGTTCAGTGAAGAGGAATTTGGGAACGTTGAGTAAGTGTGGAAACCTGACGCTAATGACAAACCCAGGCTGCTGTCATGGAGTGAGCAGGAACAGAGCGGAGGTTTTCTAGAGGTGAGCTGGGATTCAGCTTCGCCACAGCAGGCCGGCCAGGAGGTCCGGGCAGGGGAAGGAAGCGGAAGACGTGCACAGCTGTCAGAGACAGGGGAGCGTTTTCAGAGTCAAAATGTATGTCAGGATGTGACGTGAAGATGAAAATTTGCCTTATTCCACAGGCCACGGCCACAAATGGGAAAAGTGCCTCCTATGCATTTGGCAGTCGAATGCCTTTGCATTAGAAGAGATTATATTCAGTGTCCACCATTTCAAATAGCTCTCACCATCCTCAGCGAGTAAACCTGTGTGTTGCCGAAGTATGAATTAGTACCTCGGTGTATTCAAACAGTGTGGGAATGAGGATTTAGCTAATGATCGAGCTCACCAACTCTCCAGCACCCTACCTCAGCAGTTTTGGTGTTGTTTAGTTATCATCACTTCTCAAGAAACTTTGGTTCTGATAAAATATGTTTTCTTGGTAAAAAGTTGGGGGACAAGAAGAGTCATCAGGAGACAGATAAAATGTCAGTGAAAACTAGAAGTCTTACCAGGGTGTGAGGTGCACACATGCAAACACACACACAACCAAGAATCACCTGAACACAAGTCTCAACGGTCATGTACTTCAAGAGGGAGCCTCTTAAATTCATTCATTCAAAAAGTGTTCATTTACTGCCCAGACTGATGTTACCTGTGCAGACCTGTCTATATTCTTAATTCTGAGCATTTGCAAAGGTCTTGCGGTGTATCCATCCTGGTATAGGACACAGACACATACAGGCAAGACTCCCATTTATTGAGCAGCTTCTGTTTGCAGGGCGCTGCTCATACTTCGCCTGATTCAAGATTCAGTACCACCAGTATAATAGGTATTCACTAGTGTTTTAGAGGTGGGTCAACTGAGGCCTCAAAAGTTTAAGCCACCCAGTGACTTATCCAGTCACCCAGTAGCCCAATCTATACATGATATAAAACCCATGACCTTGCTTCTACAGGCTGTGCCAAGGAAGTTCTTAGAAGCAATCAATGGTTTGTGAAGAATCAACATCTGGTGAGCTGTAAGTCAGGACGATTATTTTGGTACTCAGTCTATTTCTGTTCAGGCTTTAACTTTTTCAACTATGTGTCAAACAAACTCCTTTGTTTTTAAAATATATAAATAGAACTGCATCATTTTAATAGCAAATAGTTTAGCAGGTTTTACACAAACCAGAACTGAAAACAATGAGAGAAATGTGTTTGTTACATATACTTTCATACACACATACATAAATGTATATATGGGGCCGAGCAAAAGTAGGTTTACAGTTGTGAATACATAAAATAATACAGTTTATTCTAGTATTATCATTTATTAATTATTGTATTATTTGTCTTCTTCTGTAAACCTACTTTTGCCAACCCCCTGTTGTGTGAGTGTGTTTCTTTTATTCTCTCAAGTCCAATAAGGTATTTATATATTCCTACAGTCTACTTTTTTTCATTTGGAGATAACTGATCAAGTATAATACATTCTATCCCAAACAATATTTAGTTTTGAGTTTATTGTCTTCATGCTGGAAAAATAGATTTACTTTGATATTACTCCTTAGGTAATTTTTAACAGCGGGGGTTTTAGAAAACACAGCTCTATTTTTCAAATGTTTGCTCATTATAAATAATAGATAAAAATACTGATTGTCTCTTCACATTCTTTAAATTTTCACCATCAGAAGAGAAACAATGTATCATATGGATTTCAAATGCCCACTACTTGTGAGATAAAAGAAAAAAAGGAATAAATATATTTAGAAAATTACATATGTTATAAAATATGCTAAGCATGCTCTATGTGAATTTTCACCTATTATTCATGAATGAAAGCTAACAAGAAAGCATTTTAAAGTTGCAGGAATGGAAGCTTATTGGGCAAAACTTCCTATGCTTACAAAAATTAAAGATACTGATTAATAAACATATTACAGTGTAACTGTTATAACTCTTCACAATTAATCATTACTAGTCTCAGGTCAAACTAAAGAAACAAGCAAACTAGATGTGCCAGAATTCTGTTCGCTAAAAAAAACCTAATTAAATCTCATGTATAAAGGACAATCAGCCACAAACAGTGTGTTCTTTTGAGCCATTTACACGGTGTCCATAAAGACTGGCAAGTTATATACAAGTAGGATGCCTTTCCCTCTCCATTTAACTTCTTTCTTTTTTTCCCACCTGTTTTAATATTTCCCAAAGGATAAAATCCAGTTTAGCTAATGAACTTGAGCTTTCACAACTGATAATAACTTGTCTTACACTATGATTTAAAACTACAAGCCAACATGATTCCAGTTACATAACAGTGTTCCTAAATGGTGAGTTAGAGACTAAAGAATTTTTTACATCGGCACACAATCTGGACAGCAGATACAGCAATGATAGGAATGATACTGAAGAGAATAATTTGTTTCTAAATTTCTAAATCAAGGAGTACTTGATATCCCAAGGACTAAAAATGGAAACTTTGGGCAATATTCCCATGATCCAGAAAAATACATATACTTAAAAGCATGAGTGTACTCATTAAGGACACTTTCTGGTTCCATTCACTTTCCTACTTTTATATTTCTTTTCTTACCACTTTTCCTCTTACTTCTGATTTACTTTATCATATGACAAATACAATAGCTATTTGGGAAGAAACTGAGTACTAACTGATGTGTCAATAAAATAATAGTATAAAATGTAGGCTCTGCCAATTTGGAGGCATTCATTTTCTTATTTGTGACTTTCATAGGGTTCTTCTGGAGATTAATAAAAATAATTCATGAAAAATAAAATGGTACAATTTGGGTGGTGTCATTTATAAATGTTGTTTTTATTTTTAATGAAAAAGAGGTATGCTATGATCATGTGGTATAAACTATCTGACGCTGTCAATGATTATAGGAGATACTTACATCAATGTTGTTCAGGGTATTGAAATACATCAGATCGTGCAGCCTTTTGAATGCTTGATTTGGATATTGAAAGTTGAAGGTTGAAAATGGTGATTCAGGGTCATCAAAAATATCAAAATCAGCTACTTCTTTCTCTTCCTGAGTTTCTCTTGGAACTCCTAAATAGCAGAAGAGTCTCAAATGGGGTATTTGGTAAAACCACAAAATATCTCTAAGACCCAGTGAAAAACACATACAAATAGTCATAAATATAATATTGGGAACCCCCGCTGTGGTCACGTAATCTTTAGTATACACTCGTGTGTCCTCACTCATATTCCCTGGGTGAAGATTTCTATGTTTTGCCTGGGCAGTTTCCAATTGTCAGTGCCTGCCACCCTGTGCCTAAGAGCTTTCTACCTGTCCCTGCAACTGGAAGGCTGCTTACCTCACTAGCAGTAGGCTGGGAACTCATACTTAACACTCCACCTCAAGCAGCAGTCAACCAGAGTCTAAGGGCTTAGGACATCAACACCTGAGTTCCTTTGCTGCTTATGTGGGAGGGGAAGGATGATTCTGGAACACAGGTTCTGTTTCATTTCCTCGCGTTTCCCAGCAGAATCAAGCTCTCCTCCCTGTAGCCAGCTCCCTAACACATCCTTTGTAGTCTGTCTGCCTGCCTTCCTTTCATCACTTCCTTCCCTAGTTCACCCAAAGGAACTAGTTTCATTGGAATCCTTTGCTCAGAATCTGCTTTGGGGGAAACGCCAGCCAAACATTACCTAATTGTTGTCATGCCACAGAAATCCCCTCTACAGTCTCTCCTGGCAATTAAGCCATAGAAAATTCTCCAGGTTTCAAGTACTCTACTCACTGTTCAAGAACTAAAAATGCCTGCCAATTCTTCTTTCTCTTGTTTTGAAATGTGACTCATAACTTCCATCCCTATTGATCCTTCCTCCGTCTTCTGCCATCTAGAAAAAGATCACATTCTTCTCCACTGTCCCTTGGTAAGTCTTCCATGACTAATTTTTGTGTTTTTTCCTTTTAAAACTACATTTTCTGGTCCTAAAGTAATATAATTTTTAGGCCTTCAGCATCCTGCCTGCCAATCTCTAGATCTCCTTTTGCTAATCAATATCTTCTAGGATACTGAAGTTTATAGGCTCCTCTGGATGTGGTACAATAGGATGACTGCCTTTGAACTTGACTTTTTTTTTCTATGAAATAAACCATGGCATCATGAAATTACCAGCCATTTTGTACTACTACGTTACCTTCATCTTGCGGTCAGCTAAATACTCAGAACATTTGCATGATTTGTTCTGAAACAAAGCTCCCTTAAATAGTGATAGTCAAAATATTTAACAACCCTTCTGATTAGGATCTCAACCAATCCAAACAAAAATAATTAGAGATTTTGGAGTAAAGCCTCAGAAATTTTTACTAACCTAGTTGTTAACCCTTCCATTTCTAAACTGTGAAGAAACCAGGAGATCTTGGAATGAGAAAGGTGAGGCGTTCTTGGGGTCTCAGGATAGTAGCTACTTGGCAGGGTATGGGAAGCATTCAAAATAGTCATAGCCGGTGCAGCGAGTGTCAGTGCGAACCAGCTTCATGTCAGTCTTGCTCCTGCACCAGATTTCTACTTTACAGAACGCAACTTATTCCCACGGTACCTGGAGCCTTGTACTTTCTGAAGTTGATGTTGGCCAGAACGAAGTGAATGATAGTTGGGCAATCGTTCTCCACATCAGTGTTCTTGGGTTTAAAGACATAGCACTCCTTTAGTCCTTCTCGATCAAACACATTGGGATCAATCTTTGGAAAGGATAGCTTGTTCATTTTAGCCCACTTTTCCGCAAGTAGAAGTTCCTATGGGAGAGAGGGAGAAAGGTGAATGTGGGAATTTTCAGTCTTCATTTGTTCAATTGGTCTGGCCACATCAACTCATTACTAATTAGGTGTGGACTATGTGTTAGCAATGTGCTTCCTGCTAGGATGAACAACGACCTTGTTCTCAAAGAGCTCAAAAAAAAAAAAAAAGTATTCGATGATCAAACTCAGAATTGTGTTAATTATTGGTTCAGAACTACTTCCATAAGAGGCACTGGAAAATGTATTAATAAACTGAACCGAATAAAATCATATAGATGTAATTGCTACAGGAAAAAAATATTATGAGTTCTGGGCATTTATAAGCCATGTAAATGTTTTTTCAACCCTCAGAGGACAAAGAATTTGATGAAGCAGAATGAGGAACATACTGTTACTAAATTTCTACAGATATCACCTCCACACAACTAATTATGATTGGTAAATTTTATGTATGCAGGAATATTTGAGTTACTCTGAATCCACCTGCTTTTTTGTCCTTTTGCCTCTGTTTATGAAAAGAAGTTGAGCTCCCGACCCCGGCCTGTTGTCTTGGTCCGGCGGGGATGTCGCGTGCAGTGGCCGGGCCCTGCAGAGGTGCCAAAGCAGGGCAGTCTGCGTGATCATTTTCACACGTGAGCCCCGCTCCTGGTGAGAGGATCATGCATCCCCGCCGGACCGAGCAGGCACATGGGCCAGAGCCACAGCAGCCGGTTTGCAGCTGCAGACGTGTAACAGGACTAAGGAATAAGGAGTTTGTTGTCAGCGACTGAGATTTTCAGTTTGTTTCTGTGTCGAGGCTGACTAAGGCAGTGAATAAGCGCATACATACACACGAAAGGACTATGTTTAAACTGGAGAAAATAAATCAATATGGAGAGGTACAGTGAACAGAGCTTCTTTCTATCTATAGGCAGCGTAAGGGAAGCGGGACAAAGAAGGAACAGATGCCGGGGCCAAGCTGCCTGAGTTAAAAAGTGAGCGGTGGGACTTTGGGCACATTTATCAATTTTTCTACACTCAGTATCTCCAGTATAAAACAAGGATGGTAATAATAATACATATCTCATCAGAATGTGATTAGAATTACTTGGGGGCTGAAGTATGCGGTGATACTCCCTAATGGCACTGTGGGGGTTATAAATAACAACAACCAGCCACCCAACCAACCGAACAAACAGGGGTCAGGCTGTTCACTGTCCCTGAAATCGTGGTTTCCAAGTCCCTTGCCTCTGCTTCTCATCTGCCCTTTGTTTCTCAGCATCTCATTTTATAGCACTGTAAAATAAAGTTAATGCTGTTTCCTATGGCAGGATTGCTCTGAGGATTAAAGAAGGTAATGTATTTTTGAAACCTCAGTCATTTCTATTTAAGAAAAGAAGTACTTTAGAATAGTATCTAAAATTTAGAGGAAAAAAAATACTTTTTCATTGAACTTTCACTGTCCTTGATGTTTCTGGGATATCATGAATTTTAAGTTGATCAACTCTCTGTCAAAGCTGTTTACAAAGAAATAAAAATAGGGGAGAACAAAAGATTTAATGGATATTAAAGCGTTTGTTTCATAAACTACTAAGCTAAATACGGACTGGGCAAAAGTAAGTTAACAGTTGTTCATATGGAAAATAATACAATAATTAAATAATAATACAAGAGTAAACTTGGTGTTTCACACGCTCACAACTATAAACCTACTTTTACCCACCACTGTATGCTTATACTTTACTGAAAACCCCATACATATAAATATTTCCTTGTTTGCAACTTGAGAAAACTTGTATCACTGACTTCTTTTCCCTCACTGTTCAGTTGAATTATTCAGCTTGTTGTTTCTTGTCTAGTACTATTCACAATTATTCATTCAAGACGATTCAATAGCAAAATAAAACCAAAATTTACACTATGAATCAGTTGCGTGAGAAGGAGAGAAAAGACCTTTCCAGTGTTTACAAACATGATTCAGGAGTATGACCAACCATGTGTGGCCGTGTGATGAAAGAGAAAAAGGGGAAAGGGAATTGAATGAGGTAAACGACCAAGCTATTTTTAGATAGATATTTTATGCTGGAATTCGGAAGTGGTGGAAACTTTCCCTTTTCTTATATGATCCTGATGTGGAAGAGGTTAAAGCTGGTGACTCTGAAGACAGTGATTACAGGATGGAAACACCATGTCTCATCTCTCTGCTTGTAAAGACAGACGGAGCAGAGCCGACGAGTTTGAAGTGTTTGAAAAGAATGCAGTGAGCAGACGTTGCGGCTGCACAGACGACACCAGAACACCAGACTGTGTCTTAGTATAACTCTCCACTCGGATTGCTGTTGGACACCTCAGACACTTCAGGTTTCCACAGGCTCATTCATGGTGAATTTACATGGTACTAGCTAAAATAATTTCCTGTGGAGACAACAGTTTGATGGTATCCTTCAAAGTGATACTTGTAAAGCACTTATGCTCATTTCTGAGGACTAAAACTTCATGAAAGACAGGAAAAAACAATCTAAATAACAGAAAGATAGTCAAAGTATAATGTGAATGGCATATTTTTATTCTACCTATTGATATATGTATAAAATGTTTATAAATATATAAGAATATTTATATTTGTTATAAATGATCTTTTCTTTATAAGAAATGAGGTGTGTTTTTTTCCTGTATGAACCGAGAGTATATGCTTTCTAAGATGTTTCTCATCATTTAAAAGCAATTTTCAGATTGGGGAGAGGTACAGAGTATAAGTACGCAAATAAATCTACAGAACCTTTAAAAATTATTGAAGCAACTAGTATGAGATAAAACAGATAGAAACTATATTTTGGAATTCATTATTTTGTGTTTTGGGCCCTTCTCATTCCCAACAGGAGCATGCTGATACAAGTATCCAAGAGCTTTATAAGGGAATGGGCATAAAAATATTTTTCTATATCTAATAGTATATAGAATTTCCATAGCATTTTACCATTCTTGTTAGTTGTTATTCACTAAGAGGTTACTATAAATTCATAAAAATACATAAGAAAAAATTAATGTTGAGTACACCTATTCATCATGTAACATTAGATACATCTGTTCCTCAACAACCAACACAGGTAGAGTGGGTTGAGTGCTGCATGGTGGGCTTCCAAAAGGAAGTCCATGCCCTAAGCCCCCTCCTCTGGACCTGGGAATGTGACCTTATTTGGAAAAAGGATTTTAGCAAATGCACTTAAGGGTGCGAAGATGAGGTCCTCATGGATTATTTGGGTGGGCCATAAATCCAATAACAAGTGTCCCTCTAAGACAGAAATGTGCTTATAAGATACCTGAACAGAGGAGAAGGCAGAGACTGAGGTTGGAGTTATGCAGCCACAAGCTGGGGAAAGACTGGAGCCACCCGAAACTGGAAAAGGAAAAGAATTGTCCCATAGAGCCCTTGGAGGCAGTGTGGCCCTGAGGATACCTTGGTTATGATTTCTGGCCTCCAGAACCGTAAGAGGATACATTTCCATTGTTTTAAGTCATCCCGTTTGTGGTCATTTGCAACAGTGACCCCCGGAGACTAATATAAGAGGAAATCTGTAAATGCTACAATTAATACCATGCAGTTCCCTTTATGGTGGCCATGATGTTGTGAACCAACCTAAGAATCACAAGTAAATCATGTGCAGAGGTCCTAAAACAAGGATCAAGCCCTAATTTCAACAAATAAATCACAGTAATGTGAAAAAACACAGATTCTTTCTCTCTAGTTTGTGGGTTTCAATGGAATTTTTACGTTGGGTAACATATAGGGAGATATAATTAATTTAGATACATCACTTCTATCATTTGTGAAGACTGGCTCATTTCAAATTTTTCCTTCCTTCTCTCTTCATTTTCTCCTCTCTTTGCCTTCTTTTCTCCTTCTTCCTTTCCTTTTGTTTTTTAAGACAATGGACCCACTGTCCTGGCTTCTGGTCAGTAAGCATTAATCACTGAGCTAGATTTATGTCCAATATATGCTAACATAATATAAAATAACATAATTTATGGCACAATAACCTAAATCTTTTACTCTCCCCAAAATTTAGTAAGGTAAAGGGGGGAAAATCTCCAGTTGCAAACTCTGAATTCTCCTATACTCCTTGTTTGTTTCTCAAAAGATTCAAAGATTTTTTTTTCTCTAAATTTACAATCTGATTATTTTGTAGACTTGAAATTAAGGGCCTGGCTTAAATTCATGCCGAACATTAAAGACAGATCTTATTAGAATTCTTGACCCTAATGGTAAACTAAATTTGTATGGATGGTTAACAAAAAGAAATAACAAAATAAAACACAGAGCTGCTTCTTAAAAGTCAAATAATAAGAATATTATTTAGATTAATGAGGCTCTTTATATCTGAACTGTTTATTAGGGTATGTGTCTGCAAGTCTAAAAAAAAATCTCACAAAACTCCAGTATCACTCATATTGGCGTCATCAACACTCAAGGCCAGCTATGATGTAGATGCAATAAATAAAGCAGTTGCCTGTACCCAAGCCATGATATCCATCATTCTTTTTCTCCCTGATAAGATATGAACTTTAACTAGACTTATGAAATGCTTATGTCAGTAACTGTGAAAAGAAGTTAATGGTTCTAATATTTTGCCCAAAATTTATACTCTACTTTTTTATTACAAATGGCATCCATATTTCAGTCTCAAAAATAGAAAATTACTCACTATTTAATCATCTTAACAAAATCATATTGCATATATCCAGTTATTACTTTGGAATCTCTCACCTCTTACTCATGTAGATTTCTCATCAATTTTTAAACCTTATTATATTGTATCTAAAAAGAGTGATCTACTTTAACATCAATAATATGAAATTTTTATTAATCTAAACATTATATTTGGGTAATCTTTTAGATCTATCTACAAATAGATATTTTTATAATGACAATCATAACAATACATATAAGTTTTAAAAATCATTTCCAATATTGCCAGTGAATGAAAAGTTTATTTTCACTGTGAACTTTCTGAAGTTCATTTTTGGAGGAAAAAATGTATTATATATAATATATTGCAATATTCTTTTTATTTAGTCTCTGAAAATACAATTCACTATTTTCAGAGTAATAGATTTCATGCTAAACTAAACCAATAATAAAAGGAGATACAGACATAAGGGAGAAAGAGGCAGGATAGAAGAAATTGACAAAACGATCTTCTCACACATCTATGAGAACACACAGCTGAAAATATCTATTACAGACTCTTTAAGATAGTAAGCATCGTCGAGGTACAGTTATTAGAACACAGCGTGGCACTGAAATAAGAGCTGTCAGGCGGACCACTGGAATCAAACGATAAACAGAAAAGAGGTCTGGTGTTCTACACTAACAATACGTATTAAAGAAACGCTCACAATGTTAAAATATTTAAGAGACTGTGTTATTACACACCCGATATATTAAAAAAGATGAATGAGTGAAAATATTTTAAAATATCATAAAAAGAAACTATCAATCTATATGTAATTGATCTTGACAAGCATTATGAATTTCAAAAGTAAAACCAATAGAATAAATCATTACATAAATATTTAAAACATTAAAATCATCAGAAATAAAATGACATCATATTTGCAAAAATAAGGCAAACTTTAATATCTTTAAGATATAAAATAATACCTATTGATTAACGGCAGCAACATTACTAATCCAATGAAAAGTCATTTTAAAACATGAGTCTACAATAAACTTAAATTATTTAATCTTACAAGCAAAAGGTAGAAATTGAAGCAAAAATGTATTTTTTCATTTTCTGTCATATTGTAATTTTTTAAACTTTGTTTTTAATTTTTTGTTCATGCCAATAAAGCCAAGAAGGGTTTGCATCTATAATCTGATACAGTAATGTAAATTGGAGAAGCTTATTTTTGGAAAGGAATCTGGAAATATTTATTAAAATATTTCAGAAACTAATATGCATCTAAGAAAACAGTTAAAAATGTGATTAAAGATTCATGGGCAAAGATTATCATTGGAGAAAAAAGTCACAATATAGCAATAATCTAAAAGTTAAAAATAGAGCACTGTCAAATAAATTCTTAAATATTCACAATAGAAATACTGTGCTGTGTTTATACTTATTTTTAAATTTTTTTAATGGCATGAGGAAAAAAATCACTGCAAAACTGTATGACCCAGGTGCTCTCACACACACACACACACACACACACACACACACACACACACACGAGAAACTAAAAGAAAGTATCAAAATATCAGCAGCTGTTGTTTCTGAAGAGCAGAAGCATTTGATGTATATTGCAAATTTCCAATTTTTTTACAATGAATACATATCCTTCTTAATTAGAAATAATGAATCAAAGTACATTTATAAACTACAACGGTTCTTCTTAGAGGGACAAAGTTATATTCTAAAACCTTCTTCCCATACCGGCTCATTGAGGCGGTGGAGCTAGATCCAAATGTGAAATGACGGCGTTGACATTTCACACTCCCATAGGTGAGAAGACTCAATGAATAATAGTTAGGCCACCTCCAGACCTCGCTTCCAAGCTATCATCTCAGACTCCTGCATGGGAAGTCACTTCCCATTGCTGCTCGCGGCTTATCCTGCCCTTGGTTTTCAGCCGCCTGCGCTGGTGCAGTGCCTCATTACCCTGTGCCTGGATTACGGTAAATCCTTCTTCATTTTAATCTTTTGCCCTCCATCGTCAAATAAATTGCTGTAAAACTCCAATCTCATCAAAATCCTTTTTCTGCTGGAAACCCTTTACCAAGTGCCTCTTTTTTATCATCCAGGCTTGAAGTCTCCCCTAAAGCCCTCCTCCTGGGAGCTTAATAGCTATCCCTTCTAATGAGGTCACTCCAGGTCCTCCGGCTCGCTCACTGCCTTCTCTGTGCCGCCTCCATCCTGTTCCATTTATTTCCCTGCTCACCTGCTCCAGGACACCCCAATCTATTCTTGAGAGAGCTCCTACAACTTGCACACGTACATAAACGCAAATTACTTTTTAACAGTAAGTTTCTCGATTTTCTTCCAAGTGACTGTTGTATATAAAATCCTTTGCCCTCCGCCAAACCAAAATGTTGCCTTTAACTGCTGCACACAACACACAGGGCAGAAACAAGCCTATGTGCAGCATGCGCACAGAGGAGGTGGCTGGTGAGGGGAAAGAGCATTAAACCTCAATCTGGAGCTGTGGGCTCTGGCCCCACTTGACCACTTTTTACCTAGCGTCTTCCCGGGCAGGTCCTGGGCGAGGCTTTTTCACCCATGGTCTCATTTAATTTGTGGGTGTGAACAGATGGCTTGTCCCATCGTCCCTTGTCTCCTTGGCTGAATACCACTAACTGCCTCAAGAAAGATAAAATATAAAAGCACTTTAAAAATAGGAGGCTTTATATAGATGTCAGAGAGTTAAAACCATTATTAGTCTTCAGGGCAGTTTAATCATAGTAAAATAGAAAGGAAACCAAGTGTCAGAGGGCCTGGGTTATCACTGACTTTTAGATTTAAGTTTCCGTTTCTTAATCTATCAACTATGGATAACTACATCCCTCTTATGGTAGTTTATTCATTCACCCGCCAAAGTGCTCTCTCTATATATTAACTGGCACTTATAAGGCAAGTAAAACCAAATAATTAAAACAAAACACACACACACACACACACACACACACAAATAGTGCTCTAGTCCCCACAGAGTTCACAGACAGTAGAAGCAATATATATGTAAATCAACACAGATAACACACTGTGAAAATGGGTGTAGTAGTAGGATTTACTAAGTCTTTCATACTGGAACTATACCTGTGGAGGTCAAGGAAGATACCATTTGAGTCTAAAGAAAGTCAGAGGTGCTCCAGGCGGATGGAATAGCTAGTCTCGGTCTCACTTGGGTGAGACCACAGGGCAGTCCAGCCATCTTTCCCTATTGTCTATTCAGAACTTTTGTGTTCTCATTTATTCACAGAAGCAGTTTGATTCTCCCCACACCCCTGGCTTCACCACCTCCACCCTCTCCGGGTGCCCAAAGACAACGTACACTCCTAATTCCCATAAGCGTGACGAGTCATCAGTTGAGCTGTCTCTTCCTTCCCTTCTCCGTGCCTCACAGCAAGCGCCTCCTCCACGGCTATTGTTTCCTTCTTTCCCTCTTGCCCCAGTATGGACATTTCCATGCTACTCTCCACCTGCATTTTTCCATGTCCTCCCTGCTGGAACCTTCCCAGGGATGTGACTCTATCATATATGTCACCCTTCCACTCTCCCATATCACCAGCATCTCAAGTCTTTTCTGTTAACAGCCCACCCCCCTGCAGCTTTCCTGTTCGCCATCACCTCCTGCCGGTTCAGCCCATCTTCTTCTTCCCTGGAGAGTCTGTAGAACTGCCTCGACTTCCTTAATGTCCACTCATCCCTCAAATCCCAGCAGTACGATGTGCGCCCTCACAGCCCCACTGAAACTTCTCTCGGCCCACTCACCAAGAACCGCCTTGTTCAACATCTTCAGCTGGTTTTAATAACACTGCACACTCCTTGGTTTTTGCCCTTTTCCCCTGATGTTGTCGCTGAATCTTCATGATCCCGTTTTATTTCCTCTTCTCTTCTCACAGTACATATTTCCCCTGTGTGGTTTTAATTATCTTTCACCTGCTCACCCCTAAATCTCAGCCTAATTTCCTTCCTGCCCTTCAGATACAGTGCATCATTCTTGTCCCGCTCAGGACTACGGATTTTAACATGGGCCATGGGAATCACATCTGTGCTTTATGAAATAGTATGTGCAATATTGTAGAAAAGAAGCTAATGAGAGAACAGATTGCGGTCAGGAGGACTGAGATCTCTGCGACCTGCAGAAGAATGTGGTAATGGAATGCTGTATACATTCTTCTTACCTTAAATGGAGGGCTAGAATCACTTGGCCTTGCAGAAAAGTCAAAGGAGATGATGAGATCAACCGCCCTCTGCGGCCTCAGAATCAGGGGGTAAGGCAGGTTAAATGTGAGGCCGCTGTCCACCACGTGGATCTTTTTACTTTTGACATCCAGAGGCTCATATATTTGCTCGAACTCATCAGGGTCTTTTAAGAGGAAAAGAAAGGAAGAATGAATTAAACAATCATTTAACATTAGTTAGAATATACATGTTTAATATTGCATTAATATTAAAATAAATATTGATTTTATATTTAAATACAAACCTAATGCTTATGACATAAATCTGTGAGCTAGAATTCCATATGGCTAGGCTCTGGAGACGGAGCTGGGCAGGAGTCCCACTTCAGCATTCGGTAAATTCATTATTGTCTTTAATTCATGGTTTCCTCATCTGTATTCTCAGGCTAAAAGCATCTATTACATAAGATTGCTGGGGATTATAAGACAATGCATGGAGAGTACCTAGGCTCAGGCCCTGTATTAACTCTACACTGTGCAGCACGATCCCTCTAGTAGCACTACCGCACATTACATGGGTCTTTTCTGATTTAAATAAATGCTTTTCTCATACATTATCTTATTTAAGTCTCATAACAGGCATGTGAGGTAGAGGAGCTCTCTAAATGGAGGATGAAATATATTGCTCTCTCAAGTGATACAACAGGGGAGTGGCAGAGTCTGAATGGGTCTCACTGTGCCTCTCTAGGTGATAGGAGTCCAAGAAAATAATCCAGTCAACACGATCAGCGAATGTGTGTTGTCTGTTACGATCCAGGTGCTCTTGAAGGTGCTGCACAAGATAGGCACCCACTCTGCTCTATCAGAGCTTACATTCTGAGGGCTCTGCTGATAAATTAGTAGATAAACATACTTAAAGACAGTTCAGGCCTGGTTAATGTATCCAAGAAAACAAAAGGATAATTTAACAGAGAGTAACTTCATTTGGGCAGTCAGGGGAGGCTCTCTGAGGAGACCTTGAGCTGAGACCAGATCAGTGATACAGAACTGGCTATCTAAAGATTGGGCGCGTAGTTTTTGCAGGGAGAGGAAAGAGCTAGAGCAAAGGCCCTAAGGCTGAAGAAGGCTTGATATTCCCGAGGGACAATGAGGAGCCCGGTGTGTCAGCAGCACAGGGGGAGAGTGGAACGAGATGACAAGGGATCTGAAGGAAAACAGGGCCTAGAAATCGTTCGTTTTATGAAAAAATAGTATTGACAACAGGCTTCTCTCTCCAATTCTGTGTGATGCTCCTAATTCACTTTCCAGGAAAAAGAAATGTGATCAGAATTGATTTGAGCTGAATGAAATGACATGCAGCTGTTTTGCTGGGTCTCCATGTCCTCACACGTGTTTCCACGTGTTCTGTTAGAACGAAGGTGGGCAAAGCTCAGTGGGAGGTCTATTACAGTAGACAGAGTGAAGGCGTTCATACTAGACATGCCTTATAATCTCGGAGCAAGCTTTTACATTCCCTTTGGCAAGCATATTCATAGAGGAAACAACAACAGCAAAAAACTAGAGGGCTGGATAAACCTGTGTGTATAGAATTACCTGTAAAATGTAGTGAATACCAATTACTAGGAAAATATTCAGCACATAGTAGGAACACATTGCATGTTAGTTTCCTCCATATAGTTCTAAGTAAGAATGATACTGACTATAATTCTCTTACAGTCAATTTTATCTTTACATTTGAAGAACGAGAGATCTCAAAGCAAGGTAAATTTTTAAATTCTTACTGTGTAATTAAAACCACAATCCTCATCATCACTAAAAGCTGAAATCAAAACACCAATGATAGCCATAAAGTTTATTCAATGTGAATCAAAACAGTTCTAAATTAAACTTTGGTTTACTTACTTAAGAAACCATTAACATTCTTTACAGAGAGTCAGGTGTTTTGTTTTCTGACATGTATTAAAATTTTTCATCTCTCAAATACTGAATAACAAGTGAATGTTACACACACACACCAGTGATGTTTATGAACAAAGAGAAATCAAGTTTACAGCTGAGGTGATTTTTACTGCCCAGAATGACTGAAGGGGAGAAGGAAGGTGTGAATAAATGGTCTTAAATTAAAAACAAATATTCTAAAAATATAAAACTAAACTGAAAAAGCTATGGAGAACTGGGTTCAGGCAAGAATGAGGTCATATGACTGAATGAAAGGACAGGCCAAGTTAAAAAAGAAACAGAGAGTCCAAGACCAATGAGGAGAGAGAAATCATTTTTTCAATAATTATCTTCAGGATAATTCTCTTTTCTTATCAAGTATCTATCGATGGTAGTGACAATGTATTTTACATTGCCAGCAGCCAAGATTTTAAATTTCTGTCACAGAATCTAGGCCCTAAGCATTGTAAAAATCGAAATATATATATTACAAACCCAACTTTAATATTGAATCCCTTGAAATTTTTACTATTAAAAATGATAATATGAAATTTTTAAAGGGGAAAAATTGTGAGTCTTTGTCTTATATTAGTTTTTAAATATTTTACTAAGAAGCTGAAAATGTATTGTGGTTTTTTTTGTAAAAGCAGCTTCATTTATTTTAAGTGTCTATAATTTGTTAGAAAGTTCAGATATAAGATTCATCATCCTTGTAGGACTCTTACAAAGGAGGTATTATTAGTGCTTTTTAAAGGGGAGGAAGCTGAGGCCCCAAAAGTTCCAGTTTTGCATAGATAGTGAGAGTCAAGATTCCAGACCAGGGTCACAAAGTCTACGCCCTATGCACAAGTGTCCCACTGTAACTTAAGAAAGTGGCATGGCAATAAAGCTATACAGGTTTAACCGTATAACTGAAAAGGCAATAACTGCAATGTAGAGATGCTATCTATGCATGCATCTGTTAATCGTCATTAAAAACATTAATATATGTATTTTATCATAATTAAACAAAAAGTGAAAAACACATTAATGGAAATACCTTTTACAAGGCAACAATTTTTGCTATAACAAGGGTATATCATTACGTAATAATGATAAAGTATAATAATGATTTACAAATTTTTTTTTGGCTTCATTAACTTAGTGCTTTTTGAATTTAAGCTAAAAGATTAACCAAAAATAGATCATTTCCCCATATTCTATTTGATTTTCCCCTTCTCATCACAAAACCATAGGCTCTTTTTTCCTCTTTCAAATCCAAGATTACATTTGAGAGAAAAAAACATCATTATGCAGACCAATTCCCAGCTCTGGCATATAGTTAAACACCACGGTTTCAATCTGCCAGATAAACAGACAGACAGTAGCATTTATTAATTATATTTCAAAGCATACAGTTTTGCAAGACATTAACAGATATTCTATACACAAGTAAGGTTTCATGATCAATTTGGTTTGAGAAATATAAGTAAAATTCAACAGCTTAAAGTAATAGGTAATTATATCGTGTTGTCCCTGTTGTCATTGCTATGCCTTGGACTTAACAGCACTTTTTCAAAAATGAAGATGCTACTCAACCCTCACTATTATTTCCATATTTTAAGTGAACTTGGAGTAAAAAAGTGAAGACTATTGCATTCTCCCTAACCTACAATTCCATCAGGATCAGGCTTCCTGGTTTTTAGTTTTACTCTACTTTTCTATCATTGAGAACGGAGGCTTGTGCTAAGTAACTGCTCAAGACTGTCCAGCCAATAAATGGCCCAGCCAGGATTCCGGTGTAAGCCAGTCTGCTTTGAAAGTACAATACTCAAGGCATCTTTAAGTAGGGCTTCTCAAACTCATTAGAGTATCCCACTGCATTGTGAAGAAGGGGATGAAGTTTTTAGCTTTTCTAATATTATTTGACCTTGAACTCAATTTATTATATAGCATCTATTAAAATGTCATAGAGAGTTTAAAACATCACTCTCGAAGACTATCCTCCCATTATTCAAAGCCACATGGTTTTCAAACTTGTGAATGACTTCATCAGGTTTTCCTGATGCTATGTTTTATAATTATGACCATTTCCTTAACACAGTTCAGCCATGGACATTTCCGGTGGTCATTTTATAATCGCACAGATTCATTTGAGGACACACAAATATTTGGAAGTTTGTGTTTTGAACTCTGGCCTAAATGAACTCATGTCTCCATTTCTTATTCCAGATGGCGTATGTCAGAGCAAATAGCATAAACACAAAAGTAAACAGAAAAGGAGTCACGTACCTCATGGGCAGTTTCTCCAAAATTAGTTTCTATAGGTACACAACTATTTTGAAGTAAACAAATGAGGGTAATTTTAGCATCTTGTTATTTCTCTTGTTTTCAAAAAATTGTCTGCTAAATGTATAAATAGGAACAAAAATAGTCCACTAGTTTTTTTTTTCATTTTAGTTTGAAAGATTGTTTTAATTCTAAGATACACATATTGTAATCGGTACAAAAAAATCATCATAGGGTAAACTAAAATGTAAGATTTTCCAAACATAGTATCTAGAATAGATAAAAATATCAATTGTCTTCTTGCATTGGGGGTGCAAAAATAAAAGAGAAATAATTTTAACTAATATTTTAATTAAAGTATGATATTTTAACTGTATAATACATAGGAGTTTTAATAAAGATTTCATGACCCAGTTGATCACAGTTTATGTTAAATCTTTTAACTTTTCATTCCACACATGGTAATCCTGACATTTGGCAGTAACCAGAGGGAGACAAACAGGGTGTATCTTAAGGAAAGATATTGTCTGAAAGAGCACTTTTAAAAACAAATTCAGCCTAAAATGCAGTCATTTTTAGCAATGTTGGTCTTTAAATAATGCATCTGAATCAACTCGACACTGACCAAACTGGATTTTTCACTAAAATCAATATACTATGTGCTTTGCTTTTTTCAAATAGATAAATACAAACTGAGTGAAATGGAATTTTAACAGGAGACACTCTGGAAAAAAAATGTAAAGTCTTTTCTAAGGATCATTAATTTAAAACAATTTTAGGTTCAAACATCTCAAAATATCTCAACAAATTTGAAGTTCAAATTTAACTGAGAATGCTCTCTTTTATCTAGCAAACCGATCCCTTCTGAATCTACATAAAATCTTGCCCAACTACCAGGAAGTTGTTAAAATATGGAATGCAGCAAGCAAGCATGCTGTGGGAGCCCTGTGATGAAAGCAATAACGTAAACCAGATGTAATAAAGTACACACAAAGGAAACTTCCACTTTTACATCATCAAGACAATGACTAATAACACCAAGGGCAGGAGGAAGGGAGTGCAGTGGAAGGAAAAGCTGCTGAGGAATGTCAAGAGGACCTTTTCAACTCCAGCTGAGCTGACTAATTTTAGGCAAGGATGATAACTATCTTTGGTAATCTTCCTTGTTTGTAGAGTGAAATTACAACAGTTTTTTTTAGCTCTAAATTTTCTACGAGGCTAAGTCGTTTATTTCAAGGCCATCATCATTCATCCATAAAGCCTAGGTTTCTAAAAAAGACATTTCATTGGCATTATAATAGAAATAAATATCATGCATCACAACACAAGAAAAAATACGGTCACTGATGGTAAGGTCAAGGGCTTTGGTTTTATTTTTTAGTTAATTTAAAAATTGAATTGACTTCATCACAGATGGACTTTCATTCTAGCTCACATGAAAGGTTTTGAAGATATATGACCTGACATAAGCTCATATCTTAGATTTTGATGCCATAAACATAACACAAGGTATAGTGAGTTTCTGCTCCCTTTGTTTAAATAACAGGGGTATCTTTTCCTTTTGCAATTTTCATTGAGCTCAAGTAACACACGGAAATAGTACTACCAAAACAACAACAAAATGCAAAGCCTTGTCCTAATTTTTACAAATATTGTATGCGTATGATGCTTAAACAAACAGCAGGAGAAAGTTTTCTGGAAAAATCCCAGTGAATGTTTTATAGCATTCTGTCAATGTCTTTAGGCAGAAATGACTGAGAAATGATATTTGAACAGTTAAGGGGAAAATGATGGTATGATGAAATAGAAAAATTTAAGATGACAGGAACATAACAAGAAAGATTATTATGTATTGATTAGTCACTACGGTAATTTTAACTTTTAATTTGAAACATGCACGACCAGAAAAATAAAAAGATCTATTCTTAGAATTTGGCAAAGTGGCAAATCTAAAAGTGAGTAGGTTCTTACCAGGTGGCCTTAAGAAAGTTAACTAATGTTTCTAAGAGCTGGGGGCCAGAGGCGATAGCTTGATGAGCTCTGCAGACTGATAAACTTGCCTCCACACCACCCTCTGCGCTGCGCACGTTACGCCCTGCACTGGAGAGTCAGGCTAAGGACCAGACTTACCAGACTCTCTTACAGCCCCAGTCCGTATCGGCTGAGGCCTGTTCTTTGCCAAGGAAAAACACCCACATGAGATTTGGGGGAGGAAATGACATGGGAGTTTTGTTTCTATTTCCACCGCCAGGCACAGTTGTGGGGGCACTTGTGTTGACTTTTCATTCCAAACAGAGGGTGATCCTAAAACTTGGAAATATCCAGAGGGAGATAAACAGGGTCTATCTGAGTAAGGGCCTTGTCTGAAAAAGCACATTCCAATTCAGTAAATTCAGTCTAAAATGTGGTCATTTGTTTAAAAACAACATAAGCACCTGTATTAAATGTATTGGGGTCACCCTGGTTAATAAAATTATATAGGTTTCAAGTTATAATACTATGATATATCACCTATACATTGCATTGTGTATTTACCACCCAAAGTCAAATCTTCCATCATTTTTAACAATTATGTTCTGTAAATAACAAATTTGAATAAACTCAACCAAGTTGGGGTGATCCTGGACTGTTTTTGAAATCATTTTTGGGAGCTCAGCCTGGAGCTTGCTCCTCCAAGCCTTGGAACAATTTTGTAAACACCTAATTCCCTGCTTTAAACCCCTTTCAGTTAAACAAGGGAGCGGGCTCCTGTTTTCCATGAATGAAACTTGACCAATACTGAGAGGATCTAAGGTCCCTCTCAATATTTCAGTGGAAATTTTCTCAGCTGACACAACTCTGCTACTTCCTGTACAATGTATTACACGTTTTCTGTAGTTACCTGCTACAGCTGCATCCAATTCATCTTCATCCAAGGATTCCTGTGTGTTAAAGTCTCTGAAAGGAGACATGGGGTAGGATGTATTGAGATTCAAGCCCAACATGAAGTTGTGCACCTTCCCAGCACGTCCCTCTCTGGTATTGAATAAAGTTGAGTCGCTCATCAAGGCCATTATCATACGATGGACCCAGCTTGCCTGATTATCATTTTGATATTCCCTTTCAGCATCTTCATTTTCAGTGCCTAAGGAAAAGGAAAATATCATTTTACAGTTTCCAAGATTCATTTTAATAAAAAAATGTCTTCTTTGGGCAACTGAATGTTAAAACTAACAATGAAGCTCTATGGCATCTGATTTAACAAATGTTTATTTGCATAACTTAATACAGTAAATATTTCAGTTAAACATTTTTGTCCTTAAACTATTCTTACTGTACCCCTTACCTGTAAGTTAGTCTAAGATTGTATTGTCGACATTTTCACTTGGTCTATTCTTAGATTTCCATATAAATTTTTATTTCCCCCTTCTCTTCCTCCCCAGTCCTCTTCTTCCTTTGCCATCTACACAAACACAAATACACACACACACACACTCACACATGGAAAATCTGCAGTACCTAAACCTATCCTCTTCATTTCCTAAATTTCGTCTCTATCCTGTTCAGTAAACTTCCAGAAATCATGCAAACTGAGAGCAGACAACCAAAAGATTCAACATGTATTTCCTGTTCAATAAACACCCTCTAAACTGTGATTTCATTCCTACTTACAGAGTTTGGGTTTTAAAACCCTGTAATTTAAACACATGCTTTAAAATGTCTTAAAATTCAGCAATCTTCCCAAAGAAGTAGCTTTAAAGGACTTTTTCCTGAAAACCTATGTGCACATCACTACCGCTGGGAAGCTCTGTTGTGTAACCGCTTCGATCGTTGGTGCCGCCCTCACGCCTCCAGGGTTCCAGTCTTCTTTCCCCTGATGACCAGTTAGTTAACGCTCCTCAGCCTTCACTTCCTCACTCTCGCAACGTTCTGAAGATTAACTGAGTTAGTGCATTCAAGTAAATTCCTTAGGGCAGTCCCTGGCCCGTATTAAATTCTTCAGAAACACTATTTCGTAGTAGAAATAGTGGCAGCGGCAGCAGCAGCAGCAGCATAACTACCTTTATCTGTATTACCCAGTCACAATCCAAATCGGAGAACACTGTACGGCAGAATGTGATTCCACCTGCCTAAGCCCCTTTCGTTCAGATTTCTGGGAACTTTGTATATAAATATACATAAAACTGTGTGTGTACATGCGGGTTGAGAGAAAAGAGAATCTATGTTCAAAGTTCATAATTTCCAATTAATGTTAACTAAACACATATAAAACCAGAATAAGTATTTATTTTTATATTTACAAAGATTAGCATAATTGTGCTGAGTAAATGGAGTTCTCTTTCTTTTAGGAACCAATCCAGACGACTACGTATTCACTGAAAAACAAACAGCCTCTTTTCTACTGCTATGTTTTTCTAATGCCAAATCTGACAAAGAAAATCTTTTGCTAGCACAAATCAGGTTTTAAAACTAATGATTTATATCTCCATTTACACAGGATATGAACAAAATATTCAGTTATTTTCCAACGATTTGGAGCTGCTTCGTCATCATGATCACGATGATGATCACCATCACTATTATTATAATTGTGAAATATACCCCCTTCTCTAATAGCAGAGAATCGCCTTTCCTTGTGACATATCTGGAAATGGCATCCTTGGTGGGACTATCCCAGCAGCCAACAGACAAATGATAAACGATATCAACCGCTTTTAGCTCTACTACCAACAGCAAATTTCTAACTGCTGGCTCTTGCAACTTAAAGCCCTTTGTATGTATTTTGTAATTTGATGATTACAGCAACCCTGTGAGAGCAGGTACAATGACAGCAGCATAGATTTGAAGAAACCAAAGCTGAAAAATGCCTAAAGACCTTGCTCAGAATCATGACTAAAAATGAAGGAGCTTCAAGAGAATGAGAAGACAAACCATTGTCAGGGAGAAAATATTGGCAAGGCCTGATGAAGGACTGTTTCCCAAAATACAGAGAACTCTAAAACTCAATAATAAGAAAACAAACATCCCAATTACAAATGGGCAAAAGACCTTCATAGACACCTCACCATAGAAAACATACAAATGGCAAGTGAGCAAGCATATGAAAAGAGGCTCCACATCATATGTCATCAGGGAATGCAAATTAAAACAACAATGAGATAACACTACACATTTACTAGAAATGCCAAAATCCAAAACATGAACACCACCAGGTGCTGGCAAAGAATGTTGAGCAACAAAAATTTTCATTTATTGTGGGTGAGCATGCAAAATGGTACAGCCACTTTAGAATACAGTCTGAAAACTTCTTATAAAACTAAATTATATTCCTATCAAGTGATTCAGCAATTATGCTTCTTGGTTTTTACCTAAAACAGTTGAAAACTTATATCCACACACAAAAAAATCTGAATATAGGTGTTTATAGCAACTTTATTCATAATTGCTCAGATCTAGAAGTGACCAAGATATTCTTTGGTAGATGATAGGTAAATTGTGGTACATCCTGACAATGGACTATTCAGCACTAAAAAAGAAATGAGCTATTAAACCATGAGAAGACATGGAGGAACGTTAAATGCATATTACTAAGTGAAAAAAGCCAATCTGAAAATGCTTCTGTACTGTATGATTCCAGCTCTATGTCATCCTGGAAAAGACACAACTATGGGGACAGTGGAAAGATCAGCGGTTGCCAGGGGTTGGGGCAGGGGACAAAAGGATGAATAAACTGAGCACAGAGGACTTTCAGGGCAGTGAAACTACTTTGTCTGATACCGTGGTGGTAGATAAATGTCATTTTACATTTGTGAAAATGTATCCAATACCAAGAGTGAAGCCTAAAGTTTGGACTTCGGGCGGTGATGATGTGTCGGTGTGGGTTCACTGATTGTAACAAATGTACCCCTGTGGTACAGGGTGTGGATGGTGCGGAAGGCTGCGTGTGTATGGGCACCAAGGATATATGAGAACACCATCCTTTTTGCTGAACTTCGCTGTAATCTAAAACTACTCTAAAAATAGTCTACTTAAAAGGAGATAAATGGATATTGAGAGCTAATATTAAATGTAAGTTGTGATATCATAAAAGTCCTAGAGGAAAACATAGGTAGTAAAATTTCAGATATCCCACACAACAGTATTTTTGCCAATACCTCATAGGGGCAGGGAAATAAAGGAAACAATAAACAAATAAGACTACATCAAATTAAAAAGCTTCTGCACAGCTAAAGAAACCATCATCAAAACGAAAAAGGAACAGACGGTATGGGAGAACATATTTGCCAATGATACATCAGACAAGGGTTTAATCTCCATAATATATAAAAAAACTCACATAATTCAACACCAGGAGACAAACAATCCAGTTTTTAAAAAAATGGGCAAAGGATCTGAATATCTGAATAGACACTCCCCCTCCCTCCCTCTCTCTCTCTCAAATCAATGAATTTTTTAAAATTTTAAAAATACATTGTTTAAAGAAAAATTTGACTTTTTAAAAGCCATGTAAAGGTGTTCACAAACCACTATTTCCATGCAGAAAGCCCAGTGAAATAATCAAACTTAAAACAGAATTTGGTATTCCTAACGTTTCAGTTTGTTCTTCATTTGTTCAATTGATAATATTCATGAGGTATTAAAAAGAAAAGAAATAAGGGATATTTCTGCATTGCATATTTGATTACATATATAGCATCAATTCTTACTCTCTGAAAACAATTATCTTATTATTCAGTGCCTTCGGCAGAGACTACCATGCGCACCTTGAGCGTGAGGTCAGAGAAACATTCATAACCCTTTCCTAATGGGCTTCCACCAGAGAGGGTTCCAGCTCTCTTACCTTTGGGTTCTTGTGATTCATCATCGCTATCTGAGCTATCATTACTCACGATATGCTTTGCTGTAATATTTTCTGTGGAAAGAACACAAAACAATTGAAGGATCTCAGGTGTTAAGACTCACAATTAAATTTACCATACGGATGGAACCTCATCAAAACCGCAGAGTGAGATCTACTAGATTACTAGTATAAATTTAGATCTATTTAGATTGGTTTCTCATTGGAAAACAAAATTTCCCAGGACATGAAAATTTAGTTTGAAATTTATTCATTCATGATTTAGAGAGAATAATTTTTGTTTATCTTAATTCTGACAAGGATGACTTGATTATAGGAAGCTTCTCATTATACATACATATATATATATATATTTCTTTGATTAAATATGCTTAAGTGGTATTTATGAAGGTAAATCAGGAGGAAACCAAAATCTATAGTGGGGCTACAGAGCAGTTTCATCACAATAAATGAAAGCTGCTAATATATCTTTCGATTTTCAATATCACTGAAAAATTGTCTGTTAAAATGTGCCTTTTGTGTTGAGAATTTGGGCTTCCTCAGAGCGTATTAAGAGAGCAGTTATAAAAAGCAAGATAGAAACCACAAATCCTTAAAACAACAATGGCAGTAAAAACCTAAACCAAAAACTAGTTGTCTTTTTCCAAGTAAAAAGTACCTAAATTATGAGTACATAGACCATTCTTTCTAATTGTCATTTATAGAAAAATCAAACTTTCTTTGGATGCTTACATAAAACCACTTTCTGCATAGCAATTTATTTTTTTCTTCTATTAGTCAATAATTTTTTTTAAGAAACTGACTTCAAGCTTATAATTTTCTTTGACAGAATCATGTTGGGGCTTTAAACTCAGAGAAATATATAGGTATATCTTTAGATTTTCCCATATTACTGTAAATGTTTACTTTACCTACACAAATGTCATGTATTTAAATGCTTAGATTATATAATAGAAGGGCTAATAAATGCTTAAAGCAGTAAATGACTTTCTAATGTTTAGATTTCTTTAATTTTACTGGCATAATTACACATATGAAATTTTGTAAAGGAAAACATTCACTGGCTAATGTTATTCATTTTATTTTGTGACTATTAGAAAAGGTATGTTTGTTGCAGAGATGAGGGGGCATGTTAAAAAATGGTCTCCTCCAGGTACTATATGCCATTAGGTGTCTTTCTGTTCCAACATGTATTTTGGAAGGACAAAATTTTCCTTCTTTAAGCATTTTTGGGGTCATATTTGATGCTCTCCATTAAAAAGATAGTTCACCAAAATACTGCCTTCTCCACATAGAAGTATTTATGTTCTAAATAGCTAAATATTCTGAATTTATCGATTTCATTTTAATTTGTCGGACTGTGGTCCAATTTACCTTAAAGCCTTCCTTCAGAAGTGAGAGAAAAACAAACACCTCCGAGTACCCCTTTAAGAGGTGGACTTTGGTTGGCTAGTGGATGAAAGAGTCACCAGGGACCTTCAGATTCCCCTCAGTCACCCCTCTGGTCTCATTTCTGGAAACCCTTCACTAATCTGAGGTAACAGGCATCCTGCTGACCAGCTTCCTCAAGTTGACGATATTGCCCTTAACTGACACACAGAACAAGTAAATAAACGGCCAAACCACTGGTCTCAACGGGGACGCCTCACACCAAAGAATAAGTCTCAGGACTATTTGGTATAAATATTCTCCTTTTCCTTGGACTCCAGCCATTGTCTCACCCGCCTTCAGAGGTGTTATTTCAGTCCTATTCTCTTCCTGCCTTCGGAGGAAAAACTAACAAACCCTGGGTTTATTTGAATTATTCAACAGAGGCAGTGCACAGGGAGGCAAGCCTCATAACATGTGGTACTTTTATTTTTCTCTTTTTTTCCCCTGAAATCTTCATATCATTTAGAGAAGAGTTAGTTATGTCCACAAAAGTAGAGTTGATAATATCTGGAATATAATGTACATTTAATAAATGAAGTCAGAGCATTTCAGCAGGACATGCTTCATCTTGTTACCTTTAGAAAGTGTGGCTCTGTAGTTAAGAAGCAATGGATATATTATGCCTAGAAAATATTTAGGTTGATTCACCCACATCAACCTAATAAAGTTACTGATAACTTTAGAACAATTATAATTTTTATGATGTTTTTATTTTGTCTCCATATACATGTTAGAGAAATTTATCAATATCCCATAGTTATTATCAATGTCAGCATGTTCTTACAATACCTAATTCTTCCTCCATTGTGGAACCTCTATTTTGTGAGCTGGAAACTCCCAAGACCCTGTTGAATAAGATAGAAAAAGCACTGCCCCAGACACCTAAAATAAAGCAAAAACAGAGAGGAACTTAGAATGCACCAAGCTTTAAAACAGTCAGACCAACTAGCAGTAGATTTTGATCACTTACCCATTAAGAAATGCAAGGGGTTTTCTTCATATTTCTTCACAACTTTTCCCATAAAAAATTTGCTTCCAAATAAATCAGGGGTCATGAAAGTGCCATATTTAGCCATGCCAATCTCATATGGACTAAATTCAACCCAATCTGAAAGCATTAAAAAAATTCAGTCCCTTAATAGAAAATATTACAGACATGTGCAATTGTTAAAGATCACTTCAGTGCCATAATTACCATTCACTTATTTAAAATATTTTTTTAAAGATTAACCAAATATGCCCTGGCCAGATGGCTCAGTTGGAGCATCATCCTGTAGACCAAAAGTTCGCAGGTTTGATTCCTGGTCAAGGCACATACCTAGGTTCCAGGTTCCATCCTTCATCAGGGCGCATACTAAAGGCAAAAAATTGATGTCTCTCTCCCCCCACACCGCCCCAACCAGTCCTCCTCTCTCTCTCTAAAATAAAAAAACACATCCTCATGTGAGGATTCAAAAAAATAATCAAAGGCCTATTATGCATATGGCATTGTCTAGAAGATGGGAGAAGTGTTTATAGATGAGTAAAACGAGAAGACAAAAGGATCCCTTCTAATTTACACAAATTGAATACCTTTTGCATTGAAAAGCACAGGCATCTTTCATAAATCTACCTTAATTCTATAGTGTGGAAAGCTGAAAACTGCTGACTTAGATTTAAAACTCTTTCTGGTAGTGCATGCAGACTATGAAAATGGAAGAAACTGTTTCTAACATTTGCTTTTCTTCATCTTTCCTCAAGTTTGCTTTATTAACTATTATTCTAACTCACAAGATTACAACGTGAAGTTTTTATGTGTAGAATCTGAAGGAACACAAGGTGACAGGGTCAATGGAGTGGATGTTCTAAGAAGAGAAGCTCTGGAGCCAGAGCCCTGCATGCCAACCCCATTCTCCTGCTCACTACCTGCAGCCTTGGGTAGGCTACTTGTGTTCTCTGTGTTTTTGTTCCCTAATCTGTAAAATTTGAATAAAGTCAGTAGATAGTTTGTAGAATTATTGTGAGGACTTAATGAGTTAAGAAATGTGAAGTGCTCAGAAGAAGGCACAGAACATTTTAATCACTCAATTAAATGGAGGCCATATTATACTTCATGCATGTCCATGGCTATAACATGTCTAATTATTATTTAAATCTTGATGCATCAAAAAAGAGTTCCAGGTTTCTGAACCCTACTTCCTGTACTTGCCACTCTCTTAGTCTTCCCCGTCTTGGGAAACAGTACTTCTTTTCATATATTTATACCACTATTCATACTTTATAATTATCCTTAGTTGTCTTTTTCTCTTATATTTCACATACAAAATATCAAATTCTGCAGGCTCAATGATCAGATATGGTTAGAAACTGGCTACGTATCCATTAGTCACCACGATCATCCTGGTCCAAGACATGATATTTTCTCCCCTGGGTCTCCAAAACAGCCTCCTAAAATCTCTCTTCTCTATTATTCCCTTACTATCTTTTTGATATGCTGTAGCCAGAATGGACTTTGAAAAATGTAAGTCGCAGCCCACTAATGGCAGCTGAAAGCTTTCCAATGACCTCCCATTACACTGAAAATAAAGTCATGGCTGACAAGGCCTCATGAGGCTTCTGGCTCATACTCCCTGCCTGAACACGTGCCCTCAGCAATCTCCTGTCGTGTTTGGTCTTGCTTAGTCCACTTCAGCCACAGGAGACTTCTTAGTGTTCCTCACAGAGGCCAAGCTCACTCCCACCTCGGTGTCTTCAAGCTTGCTATTCCCTTCTGCAGATATAAGGCTGCTTCTTATTAACCTTTAGTTTAAGGTCTTTGCGGACCACGCTGCATAAAGTCCCATACCATCCAGCCTGGCATAAACAATAACCTTCTGCCCACCCTTATTTCTTGTTTCAGCTTTTCCATTTCTGAAATGATAACATGTATATATACATGCTTTGCCAAAAAAAAATCCCAAATCCAAACAACTCCAAAATCTACAAATTTTGCTTTGTTTTGTTCTGTTCTGTTTTTGCTCTCACTCCAGTGGTAAAAACCTAACCGGAACTCACTTAGTAAAAAAACCAGTCCTGAACTGTTGTGAAGCTTAATCTTTACCTATCCCACTCAATCTAAACATTGATATATTCTACTAGAGAAATCACTCTATTATTTATAAGACCCCCATTGGGAATATTATGCAATATGCAATCTAAATATTTTTAAACTTTAAAATCTAAAATATTTTAAATTCTAAAACATCTGTCCCCAAAGTATTAGGAAAGGAACCATGGATGTATATTTATTATTTATACTGTGATAGATCAGAACGTCATACTTTTGGGGAGGAAATGGAAATCACAACTGTGATGAGAAGGTATTTATAACACATTTCAAATCTAGGCCAATGGCAGATACACTTTCATCAGGTAGTGGTGTGTTTCACAGTGATTTGCATGGAGTTAGCGAGACATGACTGGCGATGAGTCAGAGGCTGTTAGGAAATGCTTGATATCACTGCGAGTAATCTATCTCTAAATTTCACAGCCCTATCTTGGGTACTGACACATAATAGTTTCCTGGTTCTTACTTCCCTAAGTGATCTGTCCTTTATTAATGCTGTGGCTTGTGTCCATGATAATTACAGACATTCTCAAGAGGTAAGGTTTGCTGTCTAATCCCTACTGGAGCCCTGCCTTGGCAGTGCTGGACATGGAGGAATAATGCATGATGATGGTATTATTCCTTTGTTACTAACTCGTACATTCAAACTTGAACCTTTCCGCTGCACCTCCATCTACCTATTTCCAAATTCTTCTTGAGCTTGGATTCGCAGTCATCACATCCCGCTATCGTTGCCTGAAAGGAAATATATCACTTCTCTTCCCATCTAGCTCACCTGGTTCTGTAAACCAGGATATCACAGCCCAGGAAAAAAATTCTTTTAACTGAAACCACTCACATCAAATCATCAGCACATCTGACCAGTAACCTTTAGGTTTTTCATATTTATCTTCTCCACTCTTTTTTTTATTTTATCAGTATCACCCTAGTTCCAGGGCCTTATTACAAAAACACAGAGATATCATTGCTTCCAGTTTCTTTTCTTGCCAATTGACCTATGTGAATCATCAAAATGCTTTTTTAACAAAAACACTACTTAAAGAATCTCAGCGCCCTATCCAAAAGCACTAATTCCCTTTATCATCATAATTGAATACAGATATTTCTGTCTAGAATTCAGATTTTCTTTTTATTGCTTGGCACAAATGGTTTTCCCAAACATTTCACCAGTTCATACCAAGGCTAGTGTTTTGTTTTGTTTTTTTCCTGGTACCCAAAGCACACCTTTGACTTCTCTTCTCAGTATTTTCTCATGCTGTTTTGCTCAAAGATGACTTTTCACCTTGTATGGCTCATTGATTTTTCAAATTTTATTTTTGTGCTGTTAGTGGACTCGTAACTTTTGTGAGGAAGAGTACTACAGTTTGACTCCTTTAGTGTCTGTCAAAGAGCTGAATGAACCTGTCAAAGAGCTGAGTCCCTACGTTGTGCTCAGTAAATGCAATTTACTGACCAGCGGATATTTGAAAAGTGGAAGTTTTAAATCCTGTCCGCAACGCAGTGAAGTGGAGGAGTCCAAAATATTTAACAATTTAAACAGCTAATGTTTGTTTGTTTAAAATCTTCAAAAGAGGAAAATGTTTAAAACTATTCTAAGAGGGAAGAAAAACATTCTCTAATATTGTTGAAGTTGATAACATTTCTGTAACCTAATATGGTTCTTTGACTCAAAAAATATAATTCAGAGAGTTCAACTTTGCCCCATTAAATATCCAGTTTGAATCTAAGAAAATTTCAAAGGCATAAATGATAGACATGTCTCCACCCTTTTTTCCCAATAACTCAAGGTACTTAAATTCTCATAACTTGCATCTTTGAATGCCTTATCTAGGCGCAAGATCCACATAACTAATGTTTGATGGCTTTGTCCGACTCTGCTGGAAGAAACAGCTTGAACTCCTTATCACAGAAGCTTAACAATGAAGGTTAATGGTGTACCTCTTATCTCAGCAACAACATCGCAGTTAGTCAGTTGGTCCAAGGCAGACATATCTGGGTCCTAAGACTACTAACTGAACATAAAGCTGTCTTTTCTCACTCTGGATGAATCCCAAATATTCACTTGCTGAAATATAATTGATTCTTTAATTATTTTAGTCAGACTGTCAAGAACGGCTGCTAAAAGTTCAGAGTATAAAGAGACTGTGAAATCATAACAATAGTAATTAAACTATTATATTTTTATGTTTTTAAATCATATTTAGTCTCATGAGTATCTCACGGATTGTCAGAATGGCTCTGTAAGACAAATCTGTTTTTTAAATGATGAGAAAAATAAGAATCAGAGACGTTAAGTAACCCACCCAAGTTAAAGTCAGCTTAGAGGACAAAAGACAGTCTTCCAAATTAGTAATGTCTGTCTGACCATATCATAATGCTTCTGGGGTAAAAGATGGCTTAGTTGGCTATGCACAGATTGAACTGGCATGCTAGTTGTATTTATTAGCCAATTTCCAAACATTACAAGACCTCACAAGACAACAGCTATGGGAAAGCATAAAACAAAAACAAAACAAAACAAAAATAATGTAATTATGGCACTTACTTTTGTATATGATAAAATCTTAATTCTCTCTGTACACTCCCTTACGGTCAAGGTGTGGTTTTTTTATTGCTGAGGAGCACAACTTGGTTTCCCTAGGCTCCTATTGCATGCCTTACCCCAATTAATAATTAAATTTTTTAAGTACAAACCCTATTCATCTTTAAGATACAGACTTTTGACTTTCGTCACACAGATTTCATAGAACACTCTCATTTGTTAAGATTTACTGAACCTTAATAAAGTACTTTATCTCATTTATTTAGCAAAACACTATAAGGAGAGCATTTAACATCTTTATTTAACAGAAGAGGAAACTGAGGCTAAAAGATATTATATCACTTACTCAAGGGAATAGTGCATAGTAACATTCTGTTCCTTCTGGTGCCTTAGCTTCTTTAATAATTTTTGTAAAATTCCCAAACAGATTATAAGGTTTTATAGAGCAGGGGCAATGCACTGTGGTGCGGGAAGGAGGTTCGGCTCAGTCCTGGCACCCTGCATTCGACGGGGTCAGTAATCAAAGAAGCCAATATTTTTATGAAAAGAAAAAAGGATTTTTTGAGACCAAGTCTCAGCTCTGCTATTTGCTTTCTAAGCAGCAATATGCAATCATTTAATCTTTCTGATGTTTTATTTTTTTCTTTTGTAAAGCATAGCTAAAAATCCCTGCCTCCCTGGGTTGTAGTAAAAGTTGAATAAGATAATAAATAGAAGGGCTTTCTGAACCATAAGCATAATAAACATTTTACTCAAGATACTTGATAAACACTTACTGAATAAATAAATTGCAGGTGCACCGTGGTTTATAAACTATTCAAAATTTTTGCCTGAGAGTAAGTAGTCAGTTGAGGATAAAAAGTGAGAATTAATAAAAATGCAAAAGGATTCTGGATATAAATTTGTGAATGACATGCCATTCACAGTGATTTTTTTAAGCTCGTTTTTTAAGTGTGACTGATGACACTGAGATGCTTTTCCTAAAAATGCAATAAACTTTACCAACCACAGTCAGAAATGCTGCCACTCTGCAGCATAGGATGGGCAGAGGCTCCCAAAACTATGTCACAAAATTTTAGAGCATAGACCAAGAAGCAAAGCTACAGAAGAAACAAGTATTTACATCTGAGACTTAACAAATAGGGGCATTTTATGCACCAGCTGCCACAAGTATACACTAGTACTTCTTGAATTATAAAAATTAGAATAGTGCATTGCATAAAACACATATATCTTGTTACCTAATTTAATTAAAATATGAGCAGTAAAAAAGAGACTATGCATTGCCTAAAAGCACCAGGCATATCTTGTTGAAAACCTTTGAGAAATAAGGAATTAAAATTGAGTCATTGATTATATTCATGATTTATTTTTTATAATTTATTTTTTAGTTCACTAATATCGATGAAGATATATTAGTAACTAGTTTCCTGAAATATTCTCTATAACCAGAAAATCACCTACCTTTATATTTCCTTATGTGTTCAAATGTTTTTGTGTTACAGAAAATATATTAAAACGAGCAACTGAAATGCCTTCCTCTAAAGAAAATCATAAGAAGCTACAGTTCAAAATTACCGGGAAATGTTCTGAAAGAGGAAGTTACACACCTGCAAACATCAGTTCTGAAACATCAGGCTTGACATGTAGACAGGTGAAGAGCGGTAAAGGGCATTGTGCCGTATTGACTTTTTCCTTCAAACTGCTCAAGGTTATGTTCATTCTCTGTCCACAGAAGAAAGGAAGAAAGGGTTTTTAATGTACAAACAGATACTGGTAGAAAATGATTTAAAACAGCAATTCCAATCAAGACATTTACATTTTTTATAATAAAAATTAATCTTACTACTTCTAGAAATTTCTGGGTCCTGAATAAACAACAAAAAGTAAGCTCTATAAAAGTAATTGCCTTCATTCTAAAAACAACCAGATCCCAAGGGACCATGTCTACTTGTGAAGTGGAGAATGATTTGGCAATGCTAAGGAGCCCCCAAAGACTTTAGCCCCAGATTTCCTGGCACAGACTCTTTTTCTCCCCACTTATTCTTCCAATGAAATATCACACTGTAGCCATGTGTCACATGAGTTTGCTCCATGAGATTCACTGTTTTCTGACTTTCTCCAGGACACCTCCACTTTCCCTCTACCATTGAAATATTACTTGTGCTCTCCTCCTTATCTAAAAAGATTGCTATTTGGCGGAGTGGGAAGTTCAGAGTTCAAAAGTGTATTTTTCCACAGAAAAGGAATGCAAAATACTTCCTTACATCAAAACTGATACACAGCTAGAATAAATTAGTAAGTGCTAGTTTGAAATGTAGAAGAATTATGTATGGCAGGAACTATGTGCTCTCAGCACACAATGTTGATCGGATAAGTTGAGTCAAGTGACTTTTACAAAATATATCATATTTTGTTTTATTTAATACATAATGATATACATGGTCTATTACATTAAAAGGGTTGTAGAATGAGCCATAGCTTACATTGTGAATTAGTGTTTCTCCTATTAACATCCCGAAGATATCAGTAAAGGTGACAGGTTGTCCAGACCTTTTCTTCTTCCATAAAGACTCAACATATCTTTTAACTTTCTGTGGTGTGAGAAGTAAAAGGGGGTTGTGGCTAACATTTTTCATGAGCTCTTCATTAATTTCTTCTGGCCCTTTCTCTGGAAAATCAGGATGAGAATATAAGGTTGACATATACCTGTAAAGAAAACAAAAAGACAATTTATAAAGATGATGGGCATTACATAATCTCCAAAGAAAACAGACACTCTCTGTCATAAAAAAAGAAAGGATGGTAGAGTTGGTTAACTTAATTAGCTGATTGATGATATTAACTCATTTAAGGAAAGAATGCATTGATCAGAAAGGAGCTAGTCTACAATGGAAGCAAAGTAAAGGAAAGGTTTCAGAAGAAACACTGGACTTCTCATGCACTGACCAGAGGAGAGGGTGCCCTACTGGGCCTACTGTGCACTGTCATGTCTCCAGGAATGGACATCCCTGTGACTCTATCAGAGACTGATGACACGACTCCTTTGAGTCATGTAAATAGACTTGTCTGAATATACCACTAGTCAAACAATCTGATGATATGACTTTCGGTGATGATTATCTGCAAGTAGAAAATGTGCTTCATGATCATTGTAACTGCCTGACACTGACAAATGCAATTTTTAATCGTCCATTGGCCAAACTGGCAGAATCCCAAGACTTGCCAGAGGTAGGTCTCCGAATTGCTGAGTATACAAATCTGATGGTGAAATCCTGGAGAGAAAGAGGCCTTTAAGACAAATGCTTTCTTGTGAAGATTCTTGGCCATTAACCATTTGGCCAGTTCTAGGGATACTAGAAATCATCCTCAGCCTTGGTACTTGATATTTAGGCAGTAAACATTCAATTACCACCATCTTTCCTGTGGACCAGTATCCCTAGAATTATAGTTCTCTTACTGAATGTTAACTATTAATTTACCTGTCTCTTTTAATAAGTTGTGATCTCTTACAGGGAAAATTTTGGGAGGTTTTGTATGTTTTTAGCTTCAATGACTGGCAAATCCCTGGTATATGGCAAGCACAGTTTTTGGACCGCTGAACTAAGAAAATGAAAGAAGAAAGAAATATTCCTTCACTCCATAAAACCAAAGAGAAAAGAGCAGATATTTTAAATCTCCTGTTTCCTTGGTATTCAAATAAAAATGCTTACCATAATGGTTTATCTTCCCTTCAGGGAGGAGAAAAAAACTAACTCTTATTGGGTCTCTGCTATGTTCTAGGCCTGTGTTGGCTAATTGCTCTTAAGCTGTTGTCTTAAAGACTTGGTAATAGCTTTTAATTTTTCTGTTTTAAAGATGAAGAAAGAGAGCATTGCTGAATTTAAGTAACATGCTCATGAGTCCCCAATTAATAACAGAAGAACTAGAATTTAAAATTTATCCTCTCCTGATAGGTGTTATTTTTTTAATCTTTTAAGTAAGATTTTATTTCATAGAGACCAAACTATTCCCACTTCACATTAAGTTAGAATTTCTTGCTGGATTCAGAGTTCTTTGGAGACAAATTAAGAATAATTATAAGTTAACATGTAGAAAGTAATAATAGGCCTAAAATGGCACACATGCCTGAAAAAACATGCTAAATTCTTAGAAGATCTTTATCACACAAATTGGATCTGTAACAATTCCCACAAATATACAGTAAAGAAAAATCAAATGGACTTGATTTGAACTCAAACCTAGTATAATCACAAAATATCTATTTAAAAAAATATTAGATCAACTCAGAGATATAGAGTCCATCCATTCCTATAATTATCCCGAGATCTACCACATGATTCATCCCAAACAACAAAGATCTGATTTTCTGGACTTAATTATACTTTTAAGTAGAGGCACACATTGGTGTAATGATATTGGTCTTATTTGGACATATAAAAAGAAAATTTTAAAAAAATCCTTTGAGCCTGTAAATGATCAACTCTGAAACTATTCAGGATATACTTCAATTTAGCCGCAGAATGATCTTCTTTGGGTGTAGGTAAAAAGGAAATGATATAACCATTCTACTATTGGAAGTTGTCATTTCTAACTGTTCAGCAGGATGTTGTAATTACTCAAATCTCACTTACACTTACTTAAGACTTCCCTCTTATTGATATGTTTAGCAAGTCTTTAAGTGAATTGACCTATGATTCTATCAGTTCCTCTGCCCATGGATCACCTCCAGCAAGATCTGAATGTTCTTCCCTTCCTTCCAATGTTAGCCATTGGATCTAGATTAAGAAACTGTTTCCTCTAGGTTGGGGCTTACTCAAAAGCTAGGACTCGAAAGGTGTATTCTCCCTTTTTTGCTCCCGGTAGAATGGCTGCAGTCCATTTCTGTTCTCTAATGGTTGAAGTAAACTCATTTACTCAGGGAGTCTCTTTTTCCCTTTCTATCTGTTTCTTCCCCTCACATGAAGCAATTGGCTTAAGGGTACAAACCCTAGTGAGAGACAGAAGGACTGGAATATCTCAACTATTGGCATTGGTCTAGTGTTTGTTGAGTTCCCATGTTCCTTAGAATTCACTGATTAGAATTGGACAGATTTGTTATGATGTCATTGTGGCGACATCCCAGATTTGGGTTTTGTCTTCAGTGAGAGCTAAACATAAAGTCCTAGAGAAAGGCCAGTTTTCCCTAAACGATATCTTGTGTTCCCTTCGTCACACCAAGGCAGGATTCAGCTATTACTGGCCTCTGTGGATACACAGTCATCTGAGGTACACAAACATCATGCCAAGTTGTATCTTTATAGTTAAACCTTAATTTTAATCCCTTTACCAATAAATGACTCTCAGTTATACCAATGAAGTTTCAAAAACTGTCTTACACATTGCAGGGCCTCTATGAACAGTTAATTAATGAATGAAAAAGTCCTCTATGTATCCATAAATCTGAAAATATTTACCTCTAACTTTTCAACATAGTTATATGAAGAGACAGCTCTGCTTTCCACATGAATGCAGTTTAGGTTAAGTGTGAAATTTTAAAAGCTAAACTATGCCAGAGAAAAGAAATTCTCAGCCCAATCCCTGTCTCCAAATCACACAGTCAATGCTTAAAAATACCAGTGCCTGCCCCACTGCCCCAGGACGTGCCCAATCAGAATCATCAGGGGTAAACCTTTAGAATGTCTGTGCTTTAAAAAGTGCAGAAAGTAATTGTCATAAGCAACTAATATTTGGAATGACCCAAGAAGACATTTTACGTTTGTGAAGCAATTATCCTGAAACCCTAAAGAAATCCGTACACTAACTGTTTCCCCCAAATGCAATTACTTATGCAAGTCTTCATTGAGTCATTAAAAATTTAGTACGTGGGAAAGAGTCACTAGAGAACTAGACAAGAAGAGTCCCCACCTCAAAGAACATATTTTCTCTAACATACATGTTCATCTCTTTCCTGTCACCTCTTACATGACAACTTTTGTAAAACTTATTTCCTTTTTCAATATTCCTGGAATTCCTCTGACTATTAAACGAGAAATCCTCATTCTTGAATTTCATTGTGGTCAGTTTAATGAACTGGGCGCCATTGTCTAGAGAGACAGAGATACGCTCATCTCTTCTTAGATGCTGTTGCCATACACACAAGGCAGTCCACATGCAGCGGCCCTGTGTGTGTAGCCACACATGATGCTACATGTGAATGGCCGGACTGAGGAAGAGAGGGGAGTGGCGTAAGAGAACACAGGGTTCCTGTCATGATTCTCTTAGCCCACTCATGTCAGTTCTCCTGGTTGGCTAATATGTATATTTAATGAATAACAAGTATCATCCAAAAACAATTTCAGAAATAATTATCATCAAGGTAGGAGCAATTACAATTACAAGGGAAGCTTTTTTCCTACATAAAATTCTCTTTCGTGATCACAGAAAACTTTTGGGGAGGTCCAGGGCTGCTCCAGACATTTCCGTATTACCTCATCTGTGCCAAGTCATGGTCACGTATCAGCACAGTATAAACTTACACACACAGAGTGTAATTTGTTTTTCCAAGTCTTTCCGAATTCCTTCCTCTGAACTTTTTACCTCCTCACTCATACTCTTCAAGAGAATTTTTACCATGAATCATCCTGACCACCTTTTCTTCCATCTCAGGAAGTGTATCTTCCCTCCTGGGTTCACGGCTTTAGTGCTTTTTATTTTTGCCTGTTCGGTCTTTACCTGAATCTTTTTCCTTCCATGATCCATCTATTTATTTACCTTCCATCTATCCCTCTCTACTATTTCTTTACCTCAGACTTTTACAAAAGTGCCCGAATCTCTTATATTCTGAAACCAAAACAAAATCCCTTCCCTGGCCCTATGTTGCCCTTCTTGAAATAATACTTTCACGTTCCCACCTTTCTTCCTTTCACCTTCTATTTGTTTCTTAATTGCAATTTCATGATCAAATGTGGCCTTCATTTACCATATCAAGTGGTTCTTGCTAAAACCACTAATGATCTCCAAACCCAGTTCTAAGCTAAGCTTCTCACAGATTTGTACTCCATTAAAATACCCTCTACGCGTGAAGCCTCTTCCCCTTTGACCCCTGGAAATCATCTTTAGTTTGATTCTCTTCTCTGAGAGCTACTTTGCAGTGTCTGTTAAGGTTAGCTTTCTTTTTTGGGTCCACTAACTTTTGGAATGTTCTAGAGTTTCATGAATTAAATTATTGGTGGCAATAACTGAAGTGATGGAAGGCGCTGAAATTACCAAGGAGCACATGTAGCTACCATGGAACAGTAGGCAGGTCCTGGAAGAAAGCTCCCCTTAAGGAGAAAAATAGCAGAAGTAGTAGAGACAATGTGGAGGAGCCAGCAATCAGAGACGGTACAATAGACACAAACAGCCATGCGAAGAGGGATGTGACAGAGGGACAAGTCAATGTGTGAATGGCCTCACCCCCAACCTCACTCTCCCTGACTGCCCCCAAATCAAGGGGAATCCTCTTGAAAACCACCATTGTAGTTGGAAATAAGGTGGTCTCTGTGTGAAAAGTGACTTGTAAGGATTATAGGAGTGAATGGTTTTTAAGGAAATGGAATAAATAAGAGTAATCTTAGAGAAAATTAGACATTGAAGGATAGAGCAGGAGTTTTTATATACATGCGTATGTGGCCTGCAATATTTAAATGATTGGTCTGTAACATTTAAAGTTCTCTTAATGACCTTTCGTAGGGCTTGTTTTCAGAACCTTGACAGGAAAGTCTAAGATGTTGCCCCAAATCTACAACCAAAGCAATGACTACAGCTCTAATTAAGCACAAACATACACTCTTACACCCCCAAATCAGCATGCAAGGCCCAGTCTTTCTTTATTACGTGAGTTTAAGAAAGGAAGCATCTTGCAATGTTTTAGTCAGCGATGGACCACAGGGATCTCTAACACATAGTGAATACAGAGGATGAAAACCACCTGAAAAGTAATAACAAAATGCTTGAGTAGGCGAACTAATCTAAGGGTCCAAGTGTTTTCATCACATTACTCATTAAACAGGCAGATGCCTGTTTTTTCCTTCAAGGAAAATAAGAATGATGGGCTCCACCCTTCCTTCCACTGAGATAAATCATTTGAAGGGTACATACCAAGAATGTGGTGACCATGGTTGTAGGTTTTTGTTTTTAGCTAAAGAATCTGGTTCAAAATGTTTAAAACACTATAGACTCTTTAAATATGAGCCTTTATCTAGCATCCAAGAGAAGGTTATGGTTTAGTTGAAAGAATGCTAGAACAGGGAATCAAAAGCTTGAATTTACATTCCGGCTCTGCTGGTAATCTTGGACAAATCCTTTGGCTTCTTAGTCAAATTTTCTTGAAAAGTGGAAAAAAGCTAATATCCATGTCACAGACTGAGAACGCACAGAAATTTTAAAATTTTAGATGTATATAATACGATATTATGATAGATGATCTTTCCTATGGCTGAGTGACTAAAAGGCCTTGTAAATCAAAAGACATTTATCACAAGGTGACAGCTTGACTTGAGATGTCTAAGCAAGGACTAATATCTGATGTTCAATGTGCTTATGTGTGATAAGCAAACCAAAATGTGTGTAGTCTCTTCTTAGAAAAGGCAAATCTACAGTGTACAAATATTATACATAAATATGTTTTTAATCTCTAGACAAGTTTAGCTGAGCTTAAATACATTTAAAGGATTAATTTCATAATTAGTTAAATACAAATCAGCGAAATTTATTGCATTTCTGCATTCAAAAGTTGTTTTCCCTCTTCTGTATATTAAGGTATCTTGCATTTCAGTTTATTTGCCCTAAAGAAGAATATGAATATCTAGTGAATCATGTAGACTTAGACATAATCACTGAAAAATTACAATTCAACAAATTATAGGAAGATTAAATTATGGGTGGAGTATGTTATTCTACTTCTGTGCTATTAATATAGAATTATTTCCATTAGTATATTTTTAATTTTATGTTTCACTACATTTTAAGTTACCGTCGGACTTAAAGGGAATGAACTGATGACAAAGGTCATCATTTGGTATGAATTTGCCTTAAAACACATGTTTAAGAACCATATTATTACGTCCAGCTGGACCATTTCAAAGTTAATGTCCACTTTTCTAAATACTCTTTTTTTCCCCTAATGTTTCAGGTAGATTAAGACTAAACATTTAGGATGATGAAACTAAGATTAAAATGGATACTGACCACGTGGAGCCAGAAAGGCCGGCAATGTAAGTGGCACAGTCTAAAATTCCTGATTCATACAGAGCCTTCATCACACCGGAGAATCCCACCATGGCTCGGAAACCGCCACCTGAGCCCAGTATGGCCACCACAGGCACCTGGGGAGATGGAACACAGACATCATTGGCAAAGTAAAATCACAAAATACGTTTCCTTTTAGTTTCAATGTTTACATTGTATGTTTTCACATTTGGCAATAAAGAATTAAGTTCACTTATAGCTTGACAATGTCTAATTTTTATAAGAAAATAATGTTTCTTATAATAAAATCAAGAATTAACGTCACTTAGAAAGCAGGTATTATTAAAATGACCAACTAGCTCTACTTGATAACAAAAACAACAACAACAAAAATTTTCTGTATGTGCTCCACATTCTGCAGGTTTTGGCTTGCTTTTGGGTGCACATTTTTAATTTGATCCTCTCCAAAATCCTGTAAGGTGAGAAAAAAAGATCTGCTCATTTTATACAGGGAAATTCTGAAAGGATAGTATTACTTGAATAAGATTTAATAGCTGGTAATCGGTAGTTGAGGAAGCATATTTCTTTCTTGGCCCACAATTCTTACTGCTCCTTTATGATTGACTTATTTCAAAATACATGCTATTATCTAAGCCAGAAAACAGAATTTAATCAACCATACCTATAAAACTTATTACTCTATTCTTGAATTCATTCAATAAATCTGAGTAAGTGGTCTCTACGTTTCATACGTGGATCTAGGGAATATAGTCTATTTAAGTGAGGTAGATATATAAAATTATGACAACAATAAAAATAGAGATAAATGACATTCCTTAAGCTCCTAATACATAATAGAAACTATTCTTAGTGTATTACAGAGTTTGTCTTTGATCTTTACAAAATTTCTATGAAGTTTCCCTTTTACAGATGAGAAAACTAATAAAAGGTAAATTTAATGAGGAAACTTAATAAAAGGTAATTAAAATACAAAGGAGATAATTCCTCTATTATGTCAAAGCTATAAAGTAGTCTTCTGTAGATTCAAAGTTGGGTCTGTCAGGCTCCAAAGCTTTTAATTCACTGTGCTCCACTCTGTCTCCAAAAGCTTTCTCTACAACTAACTTTGTGATCTGAAACACAGAAAATCCTCCTTGAACCCAACTTCTGTGTAAAAACATTAGGTAGATTAACAATGAATGTGAAGCTTTGGGCTACTAGTAACATTCTAAATTCTATAACTCATACAGAATATGAGGTATAGAACTAAAAAAAGTGTAATTTTTATTAACTATTAAAAAGGGGAAATTAGACTTCTCTAGAAAATACTGTGTCTGTCCGACACTAGCATAGGCTCTTTTTAATTTATTTTTATTTTTTTTAGAGAGAGAGAGGGAAGGGGAGGGAGAAAGAAGAGAGAGAAACATTGATGCAAGAGAGAAACATCATTTGGTTGCCTTTTGTACATGCTTGGACTGGGGTCCAAACCTGCAACCCGGACACGTGCCCTGACCAGGAATCAAACCAGCAAACTTTTGCTTTGTGGGATGATGCCCAACCAGCTGAGCTGCACAGGCAGGGCTAAAATGAGCTTTTTTACTCAATTTATTTCATTTAACCCTCATGACCCTCAACAGGAGATCATACTATTTCTGTTTTTTAGAGGAGGAGGTATTCACTGCACACAAAATACCTTGCCCACATAGATAGCTAACGTAAGTAACAGAACCAGGATGTGAAGTGATACCGTAATTTATACTCCTTCATTTTCTCATTGTTCAGAAACAAAATAATCTTTACTGAGAGAAACCATTTGATATTTAGCTAAATTATGTTTCAGATTCATGTATCACTTCAGATGATATCAGTACAACTTTATGCAATAAATGATGCCTAATTTTGAATGTCTTAATAGCCTTGTTCATTCAGATATAACTTTCAAAGAACAGCTGGGAATTTATAAGGTACAGCTGTTAGTCCTGGCTCTCAGTTTAAAAGAATTCAACAAATAAATGTTGAGAGATTTTAGGTTATATTTAGACCTAACAGCAACACTATTTGTGTGTAAATGATATCAATGAATATTTCTCATACTTCTCTCACATGATTACAAGAAATGAATTTTCATTTACAAAAAACCTCCTGGTTTCGACTAAATTATTTTGATGCATGGGCTAACGGATATTATTAATTTTCTCCCTTGCAAAAGAAAATTCTAAAGGACTCAAAGATTTTTTTTTTATATTTTCTTAAGTTTTTAAGGTCTGAGAATTATATAAAGACTTCTTTTCCTCATTGGCTGCTGTTCTGGGCTCATAGGATTATGAAGAATGACAAGTTCAAAGCTTCAGTATGGGCCAGTGAGCATCTCGAAAGGCCATTGCACCGTTCCATCAAGTCAGTTGCTTCAGGATGGTGAAAAACCATGAGAGGACAGGTGAATTCCATCACACAGGTCCATGGCCATGCTTTATTGGCCTTGAGGTTACTTCCTTGATCAGACGCAATGCTGTGTGGAGTTTCGCGACAGTGTACAAAGCATTTTGTAAGTCCACAGATGGTAATTTTGGCAGAAGCCTTGAGTGCAGGGAAGGCATTTCTGTATTCAGGTAAAACCAAAACACTGCCCCCTCCATGATGGAATTGGCCTGATGTAATCAATGTGACCAGGTAGCTGGCGGATCACCCCGGGGAATGGCACCCTATGGGATGCATTGCTGATCTCTGCTTCTGGCAGACGGAGCACTCAGCAGCAGTTGCAGCAAGATCAGCCAGGGCAAATGGAAGTCCGTGTTGCTGAGTCCAGACACGGTCTCCATCCCTGCCACCATGGCCACTATTTCCAGGCCCTGTTAGACAATGACAGGGGTCATGCTATCCACTTGATGATTAAAATCCTTCTCTGCTGAGGCCGCCCTTTGGTAGGCACTGACATAGGACACAAATATCTTCATATTCCTCATTCATTCAGAAAGGCTTCTTTGTCACTAATTTTCTCATCGTGTTTCTTCGAAGTCCCTAAACATACAGTCACACGATTGGCCACAGACCAGGAATCCATCTGTAATTGTATCTTATATATCTCTGTTCCAGCAAAATGCAAAACCAGGTGTACTTCTTGAACTTTTCTCTCCTCCCCCCGTAATATTTCCCTTCCCCACTGTCCTTCAAGGATGTCCCCGAAAGGGACTGCCCTGCAGCTGTGCACTTTCAGGTGGAGTGTGAATACTACGCAGAACCATCTGTAAACAAGACTCAAAGTTTCTTTCCTCTTTCAACTGATTCCAGGAATCTCTCCCATGAGGCTATGAGTGCAGGCTGGAAGGAAGAAGGAAGCAGAGCAGCAGTGAGCAGCATGAGCATTTGGGCACTTCCTCACATAACTTATTTATATCTCCAGGGCCTGCTCGGTGCATTTTCACATATATCACTTCCATTTGATGATGGAGTGCATCTGTGCACACCAACTTTTTGGCTTGGTGGGTCAAATGACACACAGTTAGTGATGGTCAGCTCAGGTCACATGATGCCTTGGTCTCTGTGGTTAAGTCAATGACGCGCTCCCAGTCTGACGGCCAGGAGACAAGAGACCCAGGGGAAACGAGGGTGCAAAGTCGAAAGGCATTCTCCTGGGGGATTCCCTCTTGCTCAGGAGGCTCATCTTTTGGGTCTATTCAAGGACTTCAGTTGATCGGATGGGACCCATGCCCCATTATGGATGGCAATCTGTTTCTTCAAAGTTCAGTGATTTGAACATTAATCTCATCTAAAATCACTAAATTCACACCTTAAATTAGCCAAACCCAATTTAATGTTTTAAAGAGGCAAGAGAAAACATATAACCATCTCTTGTGGCTTCAACTAGTTAGTCGTAAAAATGATGCTGAAAACTTATGAAAAATTTTTTCCTGGTAAATTATTCATGTAACAAAAACTTTTTACTTGTGAAGTGGGAAAAGCGTGATTCTCAATATGTAACAGTAATAATATTATATAAAATGTTTCATAATAAAGTATTCAGTAAAATATTGACCTAAAATACTTACTTTTTTAATATACTTAGTCAAGTTGTTAAATATAACTTTCTTTAAATTTCTAAGATAATTTATCATTTCATTGATTATTATGGAAGGGAATTGTGACTCAAAACAAGTTGAGAAACATTAAAATTTTCTCATCAGTATCACAGATAGCTGGTTATAATCACTTGAATGATTAAGTGTTTGTGGGGGTTTTTGTTATTGTAATTATCGCTTAAAAATTATTCCCTTTTCTCATTAATCAAATGAGACACATAAAGAATAAAGTTGTCACCAACTCCAAATTATTGAAATTTACTTCTATACCTTCTTTCTAATTTGCCCCAAAACATCTCTGTTCTTGCCAGTTTGGAGAAAAACCTGGTACAAATGTAAAAACAGAACTCCTTTTTCCCCATGATCTTGAGGACAGTCAATTTTCTTAAGTACCAACTACCCCACAATCCAAAGCACAGAACACTCATCCATGGGGGTGGCCCAAAACTAACTTTGCAACCCTCAACTGCCCACACCTCACCAACTTGCAAAACGGGTTGGAGAAGCTGGGTTTAAAATTAGAGACAACCTAAATGTAAAAAACAACAAAAAAGTAGCATTGATTTTTTGTACTGATTAAATGAGCATATTCCAGTGATAATCCTAATATTAAAACTGGTTAGGCTTTAGACTGCTTATTTATGCATCTTAGGTTTTTACATATTTTACAAAATGGCAACTATTGAATATAACGATTTGCCAGTGAGTCTTCTCAGTATCACCAATACCTTCTGAAGTGACCACCACAATCACATCTAGTAACTGTCTGTGACTGTACAAAGTTATTATGATATTATTAACCGTATTCCCTATGTTGTACATTACATCTCTGTGATGTACTTATTTTATAACTGCAAGTTTGTACATTCTAATGTCTTTTACCTTATTGCCAGCCCCCTTAACCCCATCCCCTTTGGCAATAATCAGTTTGTCCTCTGTATCTATGAGTTTGTTTCTTTTATGTGTTTTTAGATTCCACATATCAGTGAAACCATATAGTATTTTTCTTTCTCTGTCTGACTTATTTTACTTCTCAGACACCCTCTAGGTTCATCCATGAT